ATAGGTTGGGTTGGGTGTGTATTGTGGCTTACTTTCTGTTTTTGGAATGACCTTACCGTTGTCCTGCAGTCGGATGAACTGTCCCTGATTTGTGGTGCCCTGTAAAGAGTGGGAATCGTGAGTTAGGCGAGGAAATTCTACGATCGAAAGTAGTCTTACCATCTGACTGAACGCTCCCATGCGTCCAACGGTGCCAATGCCACTGCCATTGCCACTGTTGCGCGCGGAAGAGCTAGTGGCATACACCACCGAAGACTTTCCACTATTCATTTCGGATTTCACTTGTGCCGGCTTGCGCATTGTCGCTATTTGTCCTACAAGTAGATACATGCACTTTCAGATTGGATATACTCCAAAGAACTAAGATATATTTGATAACACGATTGTGTCAATATCCCCACCACAGGCATACACATCAAACACATCATTGGCATGTGTTTGTGTGTGTGTATTCGATTATCGTCGGTGTGCAGCCCTCGCTGTGAGGCGAGCAAAGTGGAAAGAACGAGCGCGCGCAACTGAAAACGACTGCAACAACAGAAAATTAAAGCGAAAGCACATATTTCCAAAGCAGAATAGGCCGCATATATGTTTATCACACACACACACACAATCATGTATTCACTCTGTGGAAATCACCTCCTGTGGCATGGACGGATGCAGCAACAACCCGCAACCAGATCGCTTAGGGTTGTTGTATATTATATTTCAATATATAGTTCATGGTACATAACACATTAAGTATGTAGTGTTTGAACCAAAAGTCTCTTCTTTTGTATTCAAGATCGAGACATGGTGGTATTCTTTTTTATTTTTATTAGATTTAAAACAGATTATGAATTTGCATTCGATAGGGATTCGGAGACGTCCCCAAATGGACTTTCTACATGATTTTTACATGCATTTTTGCAGGGTATAAGTGAGAAGTGGTGGAGTTCTAGATATCATTGATATCGATAGTTTTTTAGTCACTTTTCCCGCTCGTCTTCACTACTTTTTCAGTCGTAGTTAGACTCATATTTTAAAGTTATCTGGTATTTGGTTGGAATTTGATACATAATATCATAGCAAATGATAAATGAAATCCTAAAGGGGTTCAAAAATTATGAATTAGAATTAAAAACCTATGGGGTCAAATTAGTTGCATGTATCCCTGGTTTCCCACCTTTACCTTTGTAACCGGCTTTTTCTAAGCAATTCAAGTTTTTTTACATCAGCTTCGCTCGATATGATAATTATTCACCTGTCGCCTGATATTTGCATAACCATAACAACAGAGCGAGTGGTCAAGGGAGAGACCAAATTAGGGCCTACGCTCTCAAACTCCCAGAACAGGAACAAGCCAACCCGCGAATGTCTTCGAATAAAAATATCTGCCAACTCTCTCACTCTCTCACACGAACGCAACCAACCTTCAAATGACGCACACAGTGGCTTAACTACAGGCATACACGCCTTGGGTTAGCCAGCGGGGCATATTGGAGATCGACTAACTTTAATTCTAGAAATGTTTGTCCTAGATTAACCCTTCTGATACAACGCACAAAAATACAAAAAAAAATAAAATCGTTTTGAAGAAGCGCAAGGATTCACTGTAATTAGTAGTGGGACCGTGGTTCGATGCTCATTCATGCAAGCATCAAACACATACACGTGTATTCCAGTCGCTACACGCTTACACATGTTTGAAGTTTGCCCGTTTTGGGGGTTTCGTTTTTTTTACCAAAGCGATTATGTATTTGTGTGTGTGGCATTGTTGTTCTTGTCTCTAGCCTTGTTCTCTGGCTCTCTCTTTACCGCGCCGTCTTTTTCTGACTGCTTGACACATTGCGGAATGTCACGCAGTTTTTATAAATTTTCTTTTGCTACAATTGTTATTCAAAAGCATGATTATCATGGCTGTGAAAGCAAATATTGAAGGTTTATAATGCAAAACGCTCTTCATACTGAATGTGGTAGATGGTATAGCAGCGCTTCCACGACCGCCTGCGGCTGGGCTGCAATCAGCTGTTGGCTGTCCGATAAAATAAAAGTGGGAGAATAATATGCCCATGAATGTGTGTGTGAGGGAGCGCGCCAACTGGGCGATAGTTGAATGGAAGGTGGGGTGGGGGCAGAGAGAATACACCGACTTTGGTACATACACCTAAATAAGCTCTCTCTATGCCGCTTTTCCCTTACTTTACTTTATTTTGTTTATCCTGTTCTGCAAGTTAATGTTTCTCAGTTGTCCTTGCTTGCTTCTCGGCCACCAAAAGAGTATCAAACGATGAATATTGTCAGCAAAAGAAACACGAAAAAGAAAAGATGGCGTTTTACGCTCCGCATGCAACTTTGTAGTATCGTATAGCGCCCGCCTCCATATGTGCGTGTGCAAGAGTGTGTGGGTACTGCTTCTCCGTTCCTCTGCCCCTGATAATACACACACACACACACAACCAAATAGAATGCTCATTAATCAACGCAGCCTCGAAGTCCTTCCCCGTAATATGGGAGAACCCTCAAGGCTCTTCTGTTGTCACAGAGGAGATAACGAGATATGTAGATACGGGAGGGAAATTGGCGCCCCCCACTTACCGTGCTCATCTTGAAAGAAGAAATTCACTTCATCCGTTTTAGCTGCACCGCTCGCTGCTGCTGTTGAAGAGTTATGCGCCATTTTAGGAGTAGCTTGGTTGTTATTGTTATCGTGTGTTCCACTCCTTTCATAGAAAACCAACCAGGTAGGCAGGTGCAATAGTGTCGACGTTGCCGCTATGGCCGGTGCCCTGCACAGATAGCCGACTGTTGCCTCTCGCCCACTCACTCCCCACAGCACTGCTTCGCTTTGCGTTGCTTTTCTGGCTGTCAGCTCCTAGAGGGCCGCCAAAAAAAGAAGTCTTGAATAGCAAAAAGCACGTAGCCGCAACGTGTGTATAGGTGGCTAAGTGTGAGTGCTGTGCTCGTAGTTTGTGTGTATTTTTCACTGCACTGCACTATTGAAACACGTGTGTAAATTCGGTCTTTGCCTAGACTTTTATTCACTTAGGGATCGGTATTAATGGGTACAATATTCGATGTAGCTCGAGTCAAAATGGCGAGCGCGAGCGCATTTTTGTTCACTTCCAGCACAAGAGCATTTTTTCTTGTCACACACACACAGCGGCGGCCGCAAAATTGCTTTGGTGCCTATTTTCGATGGCGATTTTCGCTTACTAAACGCACTTCGATTTTCACAAACAATATCGCAAAAGATTCCTCGAAATGCACTCTCTCGCGTGGTGTGGTTAGATTCGAACAATTTGTAACTTTTAACGGAGCACGATATGCACAAAATTTCCACCAAGTCGTTGCTTTTTCGTTTTCATGTGGGAAAGGCAGAGCAGGCCTGTGTGCGGGTGCGAATGAAATGGCAGACAGTGCGCGCCAATTTACGCATCAATCGAGCTCAGTGTTGCAAGCAGCTGGTTCCCGAACCGACTCGCAACACTGTCCGCAAAATGTAAACAATGCCGACACTGCGTTCCGCGACTGGTATTTTCCGCCCAGGTCTTTTACGGTCCCACCGCGAGTCAAATAATAAATTAAGCAGAAATTTGATGATAAAAAAAATGGTTAAGCTAGCCTACAATAACAAAACGAGAAGAACACCAACGGAGATTTAACAAGACCGAGTTAAAGGAGTTATAGCACTTGCGGTAGAAGCCAAAGCAGAGCGGGGACACATCGACTCCAGACAACAACAAAATGGTCGATCGTGTGGCAGCTCTGTGCAATTATAATGTCTTGGAGGTAGTATTTTCGTACCTGGACCTCAACGACTTGGGCCGATGTTCGCAAGTGTGCAAAAGCTGGTTCCACTTCCTAAACGACGAGAACAGCGACGTCTGGCGGTGGCACTGTCTGAACAAGCTGCCAAAGGAAGTCACCAAGTCGGAGCTACTGTCGCCCGTCCCCACCTACAAGACAAAGCTGCGAGCGTTCTTTCACTCCTGGAATCCCAGCGACTGCTCGCGCAATGTTTACATTAAGCCGAATGGATTCACCCTGCATCGGTAAGACAGCTTGGTCGCGGTCTTTATCAATACTATTGCAAACCAAATTGGTCTTCGTTGTTAGGAACCCCGTGGCTCAGAGCACAGATGCTGCGAGGGCAAAAATCGGCTTTCGACACGGACGCCATGCCTGGGAAGTGATCTGGGAGGGTCCCCTCGGAACGGTAGCCGTAATTGGAATATCCACGAAGGAGGCAGCCCTGCAATGCCACGGCTATGTGGCCCTGTTGGGGTCCGATGATCAGAGCTGGGGCTGGAACCTGGTCGAGAACCATCTACTGCACAACGGCGACATGCAAGGAGGTTATCCATTGTTGAACAATGCGCCCAAATACCAGGTGGGAGAGCGGATACGCGTCATATTGGACTGTGATGATAATACTTTATCGTTTGAGAAGAACTACGAGTTTCTGGGCGTGGCCTTTCGAGGTGAGCTTATCTGGTGGTTCTCTTACTGATTTGTGATGTTCATTGCCAACTATTCTTCGTGTCTGGTTTCAGGTTTGCCCGATAAAAAGCTTTTTCCCACAGTATCTGCTGTCTATGGCAACACTGAGGTGTCTATGGTCTATTGTGGCACCCCCTTAGACGGATAGCTATCTCATAAGCAGATGCAGTGCAGCCTTAATTGCGTACATTTTGTTTAACAAATTTAATGGATCCATATAGATTTATCTTTTATCTGTACATGTACTCTCGATTATGTTTTTAATCATTCCACATGCGACTCAGTTTGATATCTTAAATATAGTTTCTAGGTTCTTTTTTGTACAAAAATTAAGCATTTTGTTGAGTTTATACCACGCCACGCCAAAGTTCAAATCCACCACCGCACTATCCTCGAACGGCAATATTTACGTTAGTTATACGAACCAAATGAATACCTATATTATAGCAGCCAACCAATTCAGCAATGTTTGTATGTACATCCCGATCCTAGACATTTGCCCAAATAAAACAGAATAATGAACTAAACTAAAACATATCCCTTTAATTATACGCCCACATATGTGTCTGTCCCAATTGGGTGTGCCCAACGTACAAACTTTCAGTGCTTAACCTACTGTTTGGGATTGTCGGCAGTTTGCGTGACTTTGGCCCAATTGTCCTCATCAAACAGATCATCGAAATTGTTGTAAAAATCGGCATGCACATGTTTGTCATTGGTGGGAAGATGATCCATCATCATGCCAGTAGCTCCGCCCGACTGTAAAGAGCATGATAGTATAATTCATTTGTAAGTTGTTTTTTTGGATATTCTCTTCGTTGGTGGCTTTAAAGTTAAAACTCACCTCATCCATTTCCATGTAGCCGGGACCCTCCGAAAACATCTCGTCTGCAGCTAGTGAAGGCTTCATATTAAGATCCATTGCTGGTTGGATTGGATTTTAATGATTTGTTTATACCAAAATCTGTGAAAATTTGACAGAAAACCAGGGAGGGAAAGCCAGCTGCCGCAGAAAACCAGGGATGCAGCGTTGGCTGCCAAACCATGGATATATCGAAATCTTTTTAACATAAGCTAAAAAGAGTACATTGGTGAACAATTTAAGAAGATTTGCTTTTATTTAAAGTTTTGTCTAAATAATTTTCTAGACATTTAATTTTCTCATCATATTATTTCTCTCAAACGATTATCGAACGGATCGATATTTTTTCTACATAGTGGCAGCTGAGCAGCAACTAAGCTGGCAGCATCGCCAAACAGCTGTTTGCACCTTCAAATATCAAATAAATATTGCAGAAATGGTGCGCGTGGGACTCCAAATATCCGCCACCTTGGAGAACATAGACAAAATAGAGACGTGCCATCCAGACTATTCATTCTTCGTGAAGTTGACCTGCAGCAACTGCGGCGAGCAGTCAGACAAATGGCACGACATAACCGAATCGGAGCGGGTGCAGCAAGACACTCGCAACGCGGCCGGCTTTAACTTTTTCATGAAGTGCAAAATGTGCAGCCGGGAGAACAGCATTGATATTGTGGAAAAGTCGAACGGTGAGTGTCTATCTATTATCCTGCCAGTCCAATCACTGATACTGTCTCTGCAGTTCCTTACACAGCGGGTGATAGTGGAAATCTTAAGACCATCGTCATATTTGACTGCCGCGGCCTGGAACCTGTTGATTTCTCCCCCCGCTCTGGATGGAAGGTTTTCTCCTCCGAAAATGGCCAGTCCTTTGAGGATGTCGATCTATCGGAAGACGACTGGGTGGAGTACGACCAGAAGAATAACAACTCCGTAGGAGTCTACGAGTTTGCCTCAAAGTTCGTCAAGCTTAAGAAGTGATCAGTGACTGTTTCTCTTTATTCAATATTATGAATAAATACGTGGAATACGCTCTCACTCTCGGAAAACAACAGAAATAGGATGTGCTCTTTGCAAGCAGACAAGTGACTCATTTTTTACAGAAAATGAAAGAACACAACTTTCTCTGAGTGCAAGAGCAGGGAGAGTTTCACGCTTATTACGACAGTTCTCTCGCATTGTGGTTGTATTGATTTTAATGCCGGCACTTTGATTTCAGAATGAGAAAGAACAGCGTAAGATTGCGTTCTAGTAGTAAACGTTTGTTTCTGCCTTTCTGTTCGTGTGCTTGCAACACGTATGTTTTTGAGAAATTTCAGTATTTCGCGAGACGTTGCAGCGAGCGGTAATGGATCGAACGAAACGGATAAAATCCCGGACCCAGACAACACGCCGACAATACTAAGCGTAACAGTCAGAGTAATTGGCGCCCTAATCACTGAATGGTGAAGCATTAATAGTCAGTAGAAAAACACCTGTTAAGTGTGATTATAGCAGGTCATCGTGTGGCAAGCAGAGCAAATGTGAAGTGGAACAATTTTTTTTTTCGTAAGTGCATCGTTAAATGGACACCACACCGATTATATAATGGGGCGGTCCCAGCTTATCGTCCGGCCTAGACCCTGGACGCTTAGTAAATGCAGCTAAGCAGTTGGCCAATATTCCCACCAACTCGATGAATTAATAAGGCATGCGAATGCTAGTAGTTGCACTTCAACCAGACCCAACACCCTATACGGATGCCAGACTATGTGCTGGGCAATTCCCCCCCATGGCTGGGCTCATCCATTATTCATCCCAGAATCTCTATTTATGGCCTCACGCATCAATCATTAAAAGCGGACTTGGGGCATCACTTTCCTTCCCGATGCAATCTAGACTTTTGTTTAATTTGCCGCTGTGTGGCATGCAACATCTCAATTCATCTCAATTGGCCACGATTGGATTGCATGCATGCACAGACATATTTATGTACACACTTCAAGAAGCTTCAACCATTCATTGATCATGAAGTTGACTTGTAATTAATAAGTTTTTGCTGTCAGTTGAAGTTACTCGAGGGATCAGGTCTCATAATCTGGGTAATCTGCTTGGCAGTTTCTTTTGTTTAACTTCGAAATGATAACGAAAAACCCATTGGCATGAAAACAATATTCGTTAATCTCTAACAGAATACATATATGTATCAACCGATTTAATAATTTTACCGAATGACTTGCGCGTAGACAGCGGCTAACGTCTTAGATAAGCTGTGCACAAATGAACAGAATAGAATAGAATGTAACGCTTGTAGCCGTTAAAAATAAACATTCTATAAATACATAATATACTTATTGTATATTTCCATTCACATACATATAACCACAACGCTCTCCCTAGGTCTATCAGCCAACAATTAAGAGCAGGTCTTTAATGTCTATAAACATCTGTACGTTGCATCGCATGACTCTGGAGTCACTTTATTGAACAAGTAACAAGATTTCTACAAGAGATACTTCCTTTTTGGGCAAAGGATAAAATGTCACATTCAGCAGCTGCAGCTGAACCTGGACCGGGACGCACAACAGACGTATTGGACTTTGATGAAATACTTACACAAATCGGAGAATTCGGACGCTATCAGCGGCGCAACTATCTGCTTATCTGTCTGCCCGTTCTCTTCGCCGCAGCCAACAGTCTGTCGTATGTGTTCACGGCGGGCACGCCCACCTACCGCTGCTACGTACCCGGATGCGACAGCATCGAGTCACCCGACTACCACGCCGACTGGGTGCACATAGCAGTGCCTGGTACTCGGAGCAAGAAGGGAACCTTCAAGCCAGCCACCTGTGAGCGATATGTGGCCAATGAGACGAGCACTTTCAGCTGGGAGCCGCTGCCAGAGGGACAATGCACAGCCGCAAACTTCACCAAGGAGCATGAGCGTTGCCTGCAGTTCGTGTACGGTAGCCAGGAGCGAACAATTGTCCAGGAGTGGCAGCTGATGTGCCAGGAGAATGCCTGGAAGCTGGCCTTTGTGGGAACCACACATTTTGCTGGTCTGGTGATCGGTACCGCCATGTTTGGCTACCTCGCCGATCGGTGAGTCTGCTCTAAACTCTGGACCCATTCAGCATCTCAGGAATTTGACACTTTCAGATTTGGACGCAAGCGAATATTCCTGTTCTGCATCCTTTTCATGGCTGTGACTGGAATAGCGCAGGCTCTGGCCTGGGACTACATCAGTTTTCTGAGCTTTGCCCTGCTCAATGCCGTTGGCACCTCCGGCGTATATCCGCTGGCGTTCATCATTGGCGTGGAGATGGTGGGTCCGAGGAAGCGGGAGATGTCCTCCATTGTGCTGAACTACTTCTATGCGGTGGGCGAGGCTCTGCTGGGGCTGTCCGTGTTCCTTCCCAATTGGCGGCAGTTGCAGCTGGTGCTGTCTATACCACCGCTGATCTTTTTGGGATACTTCTGGATTGTGCCAGAGTCGGTGAGATGGCTGCTGGCTCGCAACCAGCGTGAGAAGGCTGGCGTGATTATTCGGAGAGCGGCGGAGGTGAATCACCGGGATATTTCCATCGAGTTGCTGGCCAGCTTCAAGCAGCAGGAGCTCGACATGGAAAGTTCCTGTTCCGACTCTAAACAGAAGGAGAAAAAGGAAGGTAGCCAAATTTGGCTGGCCGTCAAGGAGGTCTTTGCATCACACATTCTGATTTTTCGCTATGTGAACATGCTCTTCATTTGGGCCGTCAATGCCATCGTCTACTATGGACTCTCCCTGAACTCGACCAGCTTGAGTGGCAACAAGTATCTTAACTTTACCCTAGTCTGCCTTGTGGAGATTCCCGGCTACACCTTGGCATGGGTACGTTCTGTTTGAGCATCAGCTCTCATGAGCAGTTCCCAAACTGATGTTCCAAAATTCTTTCCTTAGGTTTGCTTGCGCAAGCTTGGCAGACGCCTGGCTCTGTCTGGATCCCTGCTGCTTTGTTCGGTGACCTGCGTGGCCAGCGGCTACATGACTATGAGTAGGTGGTGTACTTAGCAATTTAGACTTAAGCTAATTCTTATGCGATATCTGTGCATGCACGCAAAGTACAAGTAGATGGGAATCCCAGTGGACTTCGAGCTGAGGGTAAATATTCGTAGAGTCGTAGAAGGTTGGCCCCTTCTTGTTTCTTTGCATTTCGCTGTAGTTATGGTTTATGTTTTGCCTTTTCTTGATTGATAGTAATCGTAATTCTTTTCCAAATCCATCCAAGGGGCCAACTGGCTAATTGTGTCGCTCTTTCTAATTGGAAAGCTGGGCATAACGTCCTCATTCGCCGTCATTTACACGTACACTGCTGAAATGATGCCTACGGTGTGTAAGAAGAACCGCCGAAGCTTCCAATTTGATTGACAATCATTCTTCCACAGGTCATACGTAGTGGAGGCGTTGGTGTCATGTCCACCTTTGCTCGTTGTGGAGCCATGCTGGCTCCCTTTGTGCCGCTACTGGTAGGTTATTCGCACATTCAATCCAACACTGTTTGACATGGTTTCAATTCCCGCAGGGATCATACTACGAGCCTCTACCGATGCTGCTCTTTGGAGCCGCCTCGCTGATGGCTGGCCTCCTCTCGCTGCTGCTGCCGGAAACCTTCCACATGAAGCTGCCCGATACGGTGGGTACATTTGTACCTCTACAATCCACTATTGATGTTTTATCTTATACACATTGCAGGTGGAAGAGGCCATCGCTTTGGGCAAATAACGATGCAGGAGCCAGTTCAGCATATAAAATCTCTCAAAAATTTGCCTTAACTGATAGATTTAGCTTGATCTTATTAGTACAAATAAACTTTTGCACATTTAGCATGTAACAAGTAACAAGTGTCTCCAATCGCCAGTCTCCTCTGCTTCTCACAGATCAATCGCCAAAGAGACCCTCAAATAGTTGCGGATCTGCTATGTTGCCGAAGCGATTCAACAACTTGTAGCGCCTTTTGTCATCACTCCGTAGCGTAATGGGCAGAACGAATCTCAGTCTACTCGTTGCTCCGCGCTCCCAGCTGGGCAGCAAATCATCGACCTCCACCAAAGTCTCTACGCGTCGTCCCCAGAAATCCACATAGGCAAGCTTCAGCATGTCTTGCTGCTCGTTGATGTAGATGAATCCAACAAGATTTGTCGATGCATAACTGGCCAGGGTAAGGGTTATCAGTCCGCTAACCCCAATGGCGGCATAGATTCCCAGTGCATCCGATGCAACGTGCCCGGCCTGTCCAAGGGCAAAGGCAATTGGCGCTCCGGCGGCTGTGAGAGCAGCCTGATAGATTTTGAGTCTATTAAATGCAGCCACCAGACGAATTGATGGCAGGCTATAAATGGTTCGCCATTCGGAAAAGGCAGCTTGGTCGAGTTCCGGTGTTGTGGTGGTTCTTTCGGCAGTTCCTAGGCGGCGCTGATTTAACTGTTGCATCGCTGCAGGCACTGAACTTGGCCATCGTACTTTTGTTAAATGAGATCTGCACAGTTGCTGGAACACTAAATATAGTAGGATTTATGTCAAAATATCAATAACTTATGTAAAAATAAAACATACTTGCGTTTGTTTTGCAGCAATCAGCTGTACACTTATCGATAACACATGTATCGGCCAGTGCTGCCCAGCCAGTCAAATGAAGGCGCCTTTTTCAAATCTCAGCAGGTGCCATGCATACATCTGTGACGTCAACCTTGCGCACATTGAGCATTAGTTTAATTTTAGCCAAAGCCAGATGATTGCCCGGCGAGCAAAGAGAATGATCATTAAATACTTTGCCAGCACAAAATATCAGTCAGCGGCCAGTTCTCATTGTTCACGGCGGCCCTTCTGTGGCACAGACATTTCGCTCGAATTGTATCCAATCCTCCAATTGCGTAGTATGTATTTTCCGAGATAATCCATCATAGCACAGCCTCCCGACATATATGCAACAAAAACAAACTTGAACTTGAGTTTAAATCACTATATAGCAGTGTGGGGAGCGAGGTCGAATCATTTCGGAGCAAAAAATGTTGTCAATTTACATAAAATGCAATAACAACAAAGGGGTTTGAGTGAAAGAACCGTATCGTATCTATTTTTAGCGCATTTTCGTGCTTAGTGCTTAGAATAGTCGTGTGTGTGACATAAAAATGCATATGCAGAGAAAACCAATTTACTCAAACAAAAGAGTTGCACTTGTCCTCATACCCGGCCAAGGTTGTGCCAGGATCATCATCATCACCTCTAAGGAGTAACAGGATATTGATTGCACTTATTGAAATGTTTGTAGGACATGTCCATGGCATCGCTGGGTGTCAGCGGGATCTTTATGGTCGGTTGCTGTGTGGCTGCCCAGATTGCCCGAGTGCTCAGCCGCCGCTTGGTGACCCGGGAGGGAATTGTGCCCATTCTGGTCAATGAGGCGATTGCCGCCGCCGAGCTGTGTGCCTGCTGCTTCGAGTTGATCATAGGTGAGTGATGAGCTATTGGTGAGTGGTGAGTGGTGCATTTGCGATGGACTCGAGTGTGGGCTAAGGTTTTCCCGTTGCCAGTGGCTGACAACTTTGGCGTGGCGGCCTATGCTGTATGCCTGTTCGTGCTTACGGTGTGGTGGGGTAAGGTCTGGGGCGACGCCTCCGCCTGCCCCTACACCCACATGGAGGACGTACTGGAGGGGCGCACCAGCTTCAAGGAAATGGCACTGCGCACGTGGGCGGAGCTGATGGGCGGCTGCTGCGTCTACCGCATTGTACAGGTCTTTTGGTGGCTGGAGTTCGCGGAAACCCACAAGGGACGGGCCTTCGAGTCTTGCAGTGCCGATCTTCAGGTCAGCCCCTATCTGGGGGCCGTAATCGAGGGTGTGGCCACACTGCTCTGCCGCCTGGCATCGAAAACCCTCAGCGACAAGGAGCCCAAGTTCGCCAGCTACATTGACTCCTTCATCGGCACCAGCCTGGTGGTGGCAGGTAAGCGTACGCCCGCTTAACGCGTGCCTTCCAGCTGCTGTCATCTGGTCTCAAGTAGTTTACGCTTTCAACTATGCCCTGCTTGCAGCCTTCAACTTCTCCGGCGGCTATTTCAATCCGGTGTTGGCCACAGCTCTCAAGTGGGGCTGTCGCGGCCACACCAATTTCGAGCACATCATTGTCTACTGGATTGGTGCCTGCGTTGGTGCTGTGCTCTCGGTTCCGATATACAAGCTGCCCATAGTTCGACGCTTCCTTCTTGGCGAGGAGAAGATAAAACAGGCTTAGGAGTGGCCCCAAGACTAGAATTGAAAACGGGAAAGACGGCACTAGCGAGAATTTGCATAATTAGAATACGTTGATAAATATTTACCTAATGCACATGCACGTTTGTTGAAACATTTCGATAGTTCTATGAGAATTTGTACAAATTAAACTGATGTTATTCGTATTTGTCAATGGAGCTGTTTAAAAGGTATTTATTTATTGTTTATTTGTTGACAATGCAATACTTTCCAGCACTTTTGATTTTTTTTTTAAAGTTGAAAACGCGTAAAAAGTCGGAATAAGTATTAAAAGTATTTATTTCAAAGTACTTGGCGGGAAATAGGAAGAATCTTAAATATTAAGATCTTCAAGACAATACGTACTTGATTTAAAGCAATACAATTGAGAGGGAAAATAATAATTAAATTTAAAAATAATTTTAAATTTGAATTTTATTTAGTTATCTAATACCAATTCCATAATACACACAGCACAGCCGTTTGTCCTTGCATAGAGGCACTAGGCGAGTGTTTGTCAAACATGGTCAAACACTGGGCATGAGCCCAGTGTCCTGGGCACTGCTGCGCATAGACGAACCCTGGCGCATCTTCGAATCCCTGATAAATCTTTCGAAGTAATTTTTTTTTATTACAGGTTGTTCGTTATGTTCTAAGCAGAGAGAGAGAGTTGGTGTTGGTGTTCTTCTTGCTGCTTTGTTTGAGGGGCGGGCGTTGAACTTGCCACTGTATACTGGCCATCGACGGGTCCGGCGGTATCGGTGGGATCAACAGAGATAGGTAGCGGGTTTTTCACACCTGAATTTTTATTGGGCTACGCCACGTCACTAATATACCAGAATATATACGCATAACCAGCTGAGTTGAGCCTGCCTATTGAGTGCCTCGGTGAAAATATTTCACAGTCCAAAAATTAAGAAAAGTAGGTCTGAGGAGGGAGATCCATTCCATTCCATTTCCATTCAGAATATATCTAGGTAGACTTAAAATTGACTGTCAGAAGAAAATAGTATACCAAAAACATTCGTACATACCAAATACTTTCACCAACTGTGAAAATGATTAAGATCCAAAAGGTGTTTTGCCTTCTGGAGCTGAAATGGGGTATGGTGCTTATTGGCATCGTGGAGCTAATCCTGTGTGCCACACTAGTTGGGTTGTCCAAGGGTAAGTGGAGTACATAATATTCAAATTGGTCCCTTCATGTCTGTCTGTTTAGGAATGCATGTGAATATTGTTTACTATCTTAGCACGACTGTCTCCATTCTTCACATTATCGCCTGTGTCATGCTTTTAATATCCGTTGCAGTGGTAAGTGCCTTTGAGTAACCATAAAGGATTAGACCACAATTTGTCCTTTAATTTGCAGCCTATGAAGGAGCTTGTGATTCCCTACCTGATAGCTGGTATCATCCGATTCATTGTCCTTCTTTTGGGTGTAATTTGGCTGGTGATTTACGGTATGCGGCATGAGATCTTCAATTACCAACCAATTCACACAGAATCCGTTATTGTCATGGTGATATCGTTCAGTAAGTATGCTTTTCGCTGAATTATGACAACTAACAAGCTGAATATTGCTCTTTGGCCTGCAGTTATCTCCGCGTACTTTTGGGTATGCGTCTACTCTTGGTTCAAGAAGCTCGGTGGCTCTACCCCAATCGATTAAGCAGACAACCATCAATGACTTCACCTTGACAAACCATTCTCAATATTCCAATATGCCAGAGATGACTCTCCACAAAACACCAGTCGAAATGTATTCCTCGAAATGTGTTAAATTAATTAGTAAAAAAGAAGGGACGTGTGAGACGCTTCTTTCGAGTCACAACTTTTATACCCGGCACTCAGTACTACATCTGCTCCTTAGCGGTGTTTTGTGCCGAGTGAACCAGAAGCAGAGTGTAAATGAGAGAATGTAAAAAAAACAAATATTAGCTGCGGGAGGGTGTGGGGTTAACCATTGCAACTTAATTTCTTCATTCTGGCTAAAATAATCATCCCATCCCAATTTGGTGATCTGATAGATATGGGCATTCCCTATGGAATGCCGTTTTTAGTTTTCTTTTATCTTCAAAATTGCAGATTTGGAAGGTTTTCGGCCTTTTGCGGGGGCGGAAGGGGCGGGGCTAATTGTTTAAATACACTGCTCTAGCTCTTATAGTCGGTGAGTACTAGCCGACAAACAAGACGGACAGACGGACGGACGGACAGACAGACATGGCTCAATCGATTCGGCTATTGATGCTGATCAAGAATATATATACTTTATGGGGTCAGAAACGTTTCCTTCTGTGCGTTACATACAACCGTTATTCCCCACAAATACAATATAACCTATTTACTCTTCGATTACCGGGTATAATAATATCACTGGTGGGGTACCTGTTTGTTTAGAGTATTTTAAGGATTTTCTTACTCTTGTGGTGGGCAGGCTAGCCTCCAGATTCTTCTGTAGAATGTTAGCAGGGCAGGGCGGATCTTCTGTGCATCTTCTGTAGGTCGCGCAGAAACAACAAAACACGTGTTTGTTTTTTTTTTTTTTTTTTAGGTTTTAAGTTACCGCTCTACCCTTGGGTAGAGGGGAATTATTTGGCCACCCGCCTTTACAAGGGGGAAATCGCCACGTCGTAATATGTAACTTGTTACAGCTTTGCTCCAATACTTACCTGGCGTAGAGGTTATGTTCCCCACGTGCTTGCAGTGTCTCTTAAAGACAAGTTTTTTGATTTTTTGTGTTTGTTTTTAAAATGTCGACCAGTGGCGGCCGCTTTATTCAGGCTTTCATAGAGATGACCATTCAGCCGATAGCTGCATATACATGCATACATACATAAACATACATACATACAAGCTACGTTACTTTAAATGGCTTTTTAAATGAAATAACAATTACTATGACTGTTTAATTAAACTATAAACGATAAGCCCTATTTACATATAAGAAATGACGTCCTAAATCAGTGCAATGGCATCAGATTGAATTGATCATGATGATTTCGATATCGAGTGTGAATACCGAACACGCGATAGAAACAGTCGATAAACAATAAACAGCTTTTTCTACTCATTAATTCAGAATTGACTTAGTAAAACGACTAAACTCATGGATCTCCGAAGCACTGCACTTTATGCGATGTTCCAGAAATATTTGCATTTCAACGCTGAAGCTTTGAAGGCAGTCGACAAGAGGATTAAGATCAATTTGAACAATTATTAACAAACTTGCTCCACACACAACTATAACTAGATCACTTCTCTCTGACTTTACTTCTATGTACAAGGGATTTGCCAAATAGGCTACGGTCTCACATCTCACAGCTGGCGAGGCATCGACAGTAGGCCACCGGCGGCAGTGGCACTCAGGAGCTGCCGCACCGTCTGCAATTCGTCGCGAAGGGCAAGCACTTGAGCTCGCAAGATGGAGTTTTCCTGCTCCAGTAGAGCAGCCCGAAACGCAATGCGATCCTCCCGGATTTTGCGAGCATCTCGAGACTTCTTGGCCGCCTCGTTGTTCCGCTTGCGTCTCTCATAGTACTTGGCATCCTTCTGGGCATCGGGAATCGGTCGCTTCTCGCCTCGTGACCGACGGTGCAAGAAACCGGGAAACATGCCGCCAACAACACCCACACGATGATTCAACTCCATCAGAGGGAACTCCAGGGCGTGTAGTGGGTGGTTTTGCGGAGCAATGTACTCGAAGGCGGGCAGTGTGGAGGCAGCAGCAGCTCCGGCGGAATTTCTGCCATTGATCAGATTTGGAATACTGAGGCCTGGTAGGCCCTGAAGGTGACCATGACTGTGAGGTGTTCCAAAGGGATACAACGATTTTTTGGTTTCAAATTCCAGCTCCATCTCGCTGTGCAACGATAGGGTCTCGGTCACGTCCAGGATGGGCGATTTGCAGGGCGTGGACGGAGGTGCCTGAGCCTCTGCGGGTGAGTGCATCCTGGCCAACATTTCGGGCGATAAGCCTCGGACTTCCGTTCGCGTCAACGTCCGCCGAGTGTCTGAAAGCGGAGCTCGAAAAGCTGGATTCCTGGTCGGGCGACCACCTGCCTGGTCTGATAATTATAGGTTCCTGTCATACAACCCCATCCGCATCCCCCTGGCAACCCCACCACAGTCGGACGATTTGGTTGGGGACCCCGGGTAAGTCCTAAGCCAGCCAAAACGCCCTCCCGTCTGATTCAACCAATCACGCAATGTTGACGGTAATTATTCGTCAAATACATGACACTTTTCCACGCCGACTGGCATTTATATTGCTGCCCGGTTACAAGGACTTCATATAACTGGTTAGTGAGATTACGCCCGCCCAGTCCGCCGCCACAGGCAGCAGTCCGTTGACCACATGTCGCCCTGATTTACCCACCCGCCCCGGCCCTAGGTTATATATGAGTTGGCCAACTATTATGCGGCACAAGAGGTTGGTGCAGGGGCAAAGACTGAACTGAACTGAATTGAACTGGCCAATGGGAATGACCAAATGTCGGCCGTCATTTTATTGGGGAAAGTTGTGACGATAAGTGGCTGTAATAGTCTGCAAAATGGGCGGACTAGAAGCGCTCAAGTTAATGCCAATCGATTTTTGCAATCAGTTATATCTTATGCTATCTTTACCAGGAAATGCTACTCCAAGAAGCACCCAAAAAGTGCACCGTCAGACGGACACGACCCGGATTTCGCGAAGCCTTCAAAAGAAGACATCAAGCAAACTAATCCCAACTCCAATTTGATCATGCATGACTCTCCAGAATTCGTATAGCATAGAAGCCCGAACAAAGTGTTATTGGCATACGTATATGCCCACCAAATGGGGGAACCCCCACATACAAGTCAGTGCTGATGCAGTGGCGGGCGAGACATTTTTCAAAGAGGAGTAGTTTCACTCAAAGATAATGCAAGAAGTGACAATCCCCCCTAGCGAACTCTTATTAGTGTCTTCCCGCACGTGTCTTCTTCGTTCAACCCGTTCATGTGCCCCAGTTCGTCCCGTCCGTGCCATGCAGTTGAGAAAGTGTCACCTGTTTGTAAAGGTTAATTGGCAGTTTGAGACCCGGGTACCGTAACGTAGGCGGAAGTAAGACGGCAAAACAGTCGCATCCTCATAACATTTCATAAGGTATGCGCTAATTTATTATCTGTGGGCAAAAGTTTTGCCACAGTTAACCCTTTGACTGCCGTGGCACCGAGTTGTGTCTATTATTCGATGTCTTTTATGGCTATGGTTTTGCCTAACGATGGGCTGAATCGGGGATTCGGAATATGAGGATTGCGTGCTGGGGTGACATGTCTGAGCTAATAGAAGAAGGGGTTAAGCATACATATTTAAAAAATATACAAAAAAGATTCCGTTGGGAATAAAATTAGTATGACAAATCTATAAATTGTCTGCACCCTGAAGGACCACGACTAATGCAATGGGAGGAAACCTTTCGGACACAGACTATTCTACGACAAGTAATAGGCAAATTACCAGGTAATAAAAGAACCCGAACATGTAATTTTTTCAATATTTGTACTCTGTTTTAGTGGGTCAATAATTGGAGAGCGCTCACACAAGGGACCTCGACCCCGACAAACCGTTAATGACACCTCTAATTGGATGACATTAACGCTGGGGATTTGAGACTAACAACCCAAAAAGGTCCACGTTAGCACGACTAAGTAGGCCCTGCCTATGTAGGTCCTGCTCTGCCTTTCCGAAATACAGCTGAAGTATTTTATTATTCGAGTAAATATAGAACTGATCAGAATGTGTGACGAAGCACCCATTAGCGACTGTGAGCCGAGCACATCGAGCCTGCCCTTCAACGCCTACCACATCCACTTGCCGCTGTACATCATGGACATGGTGCGCGTCTTTCAGGACCATCCCGAATACGCCGATGGAATAAAGGAATCAACTATCATAGAGATGCTAAAGAAGGAGTAAGATAAGATAACATTTCTCACAGAGCAACCAAAATCATTCGTTATCATTGTAGACCATTTGCCTGTGGCGATCTTGAAGCTCAGGTGAAGACTGCCCTCATGGACCTCACTGCCAAGGGGTTCGTACGTTACATGAACAATGGGTATCGCACCCTGGGACCCATTGCGAAGCTGTCCAATTCCCGATCTGCTCGCCACTTCAACCAAACCTGGCAACGCATTGCCGCCCTGCAGAAGCCCCACGGCGCCAGCCCGCAGGCTACCCCCAGCACTGGATCCAACTGCTGAGGATGGACGGAGAGCTTTAAACTCTCCCCTTGAACACATTTATTGCGTTGCTTGTTTCGTTTAATGAGTTGAGTTTCTACAAACATAAGCAGACAATTGTACACCCACCCACACAGCAATCGAAATTGTATCCGTGTAGTAAAATTCATGCTAAGGCCAGCAAATCAAGCTGCAATAGATGTGTGTCATTTCCATGAAACTATAGAACTTGGGGTGGTTCGATCGGTGCCCATCATCATCATTATGCTTGGAAACATATGTCCATCCTTTTGACACTTAACCCGCCGCCTAATTATGGCCAGGGGTTGGACACAGGTACAAAGCGAATAGCGGCATGGAGAACATTGCCAGGTGACTCTGCCTATCTATTTCGATGGGGTACCGAACGATACTCGCTCCTGTAAGTGATTTCAATCTGAAAATTGAGCAAGTCCAAGCTCCCACTTAAGGGAGTACGTGTACATTCAGTCAGTTGTTGCAATTCACAGTCTAGTATAAAGGTCATCCCTGTGTGGCATCGGCTCTGGGTGACCCTTGGGCCTTCAGCCATTACCCTTTTGGCCGAAACATTTAAATTGTCAACACCAGGACAAAGAGCGGAGGACCTGTCCTCAATGTGCGCTCCCCCCATCCACCCACATGTGCAGGCCAAACACGCATGTGATCCCGGCCAGGTGTTATTTATTGCCTTTCTAATCGTTGCGGCATAATCTATTAGCACCCCGCACCGCACCGCATCCCGTACGAGACCACGACTACAGCACGGTGTTCTTTGATTTTTTGCGCTGCTTGCACATTAGAGGCAATTATTATTATTGTTTTAGTTTTGAGGCTTTTGGCTGCTTGTCATTTGCCTCTGCCTTTGCCTTTTGTTTTGCGTTGGCAATTGGGCGAGCCCCAAGAAAAACATTAATCAAGCGACTTGACGTGTGATAGTAATGAGGTATATGTGTACATACTCCTGTACATACTTTTATGTATAGCTTATTTGATATGGTATGGATATGGAAGCACCTAAATTCAGCTTAAGAAGGATACTGAATACTTTATTCAAAGTTATCTAACTAAATATGACACGATTGTCTCTCCGTCTCTCGATAGAAACGTTCAAGGTTCTTGCCAATGTTTGATTAAATTTAAATGAAAATTAAACTTTATTTCCATTGTTGAATCGAGTGCTATCGCCGTTGTGGTGCTCACATCCACTTGGTGACGGCATAACACAAAACGAATGACTCAAAATAAACTTAAGAACTACAACTATTTTATATGAATACCTAATCTTTGATCAGATCAAGTTTAGAATCATATTTTTCAGTACCATCATCATCGATAACGGAATATCCGCGCTTCATCAATTGTTCGGGCAGATTTGCGTTGACGCCAAGGAATCGAATCTCAAAGCTATCGTGCAGGCGTCTGACCAGGAGCACGTCTTCTTCCACATTGAGTATTTTACTTTTCAGATACTCCATGCACTCGGTGGCTTCCTTTGGGGACAAGGAGTTTCTGTATTCGACGCCCTCGATGTGGCAGCTAACGGCGCGATGTGGCCGAAGACAGTCGACCTCTCCGCACGGAACCAGATCATTTAATGGCACAAACTCCGTATTACCATAGTCCACATAAAATATCTTATAATCTCCGTCCGACTCCTCGATGACCTGGGCGCGGTAATAGCAGCCATCGCTGTAGCGAGCTAAGACAATGTCCAACATGTGCGGCTTCTGCTTGAACTGACGATTGGCCCCTAGGACATCGTTCTTGGTCCACACTAGTGGAGAAGAGCCGTCCACAAATTGGCCATACATTTCCGTGGTGCTACTCACGTAGGTTATTAGCATTTTCACAGTGCTTCCCAGTTCTCGTGAGAGCGGGGTATCAAAAACGGCTTCTGGCAGAGCGGCTGCCACCTCCACATCCTTGGTGGCGCCATGCGGTGCAAGAGGCTCGTGCGCCAAACGACAGCTTCCACCTAATGCGAAAATAAAGAGTTGGTTTAAGAGTTTTCTTAGAGCTTTGATTTGATTTTTACCCTTAAAGCAGCCATTGAGTTCCGGATCGTAGTGCCGACAGATGCGCTGTTCGTCTGTGGGCCTAAAGCCGAGTACAGCCATTAGGGGGTCACTGGTGCCCTCATCAATCTCATTTAGCATGGCAAGGTCTGCCTCGCTTAACTGTGGGCCCTCGCTCACGTCGGGAATCTTCTTTTGAGTACTTTCGCTTTTGTTCTCCTCCGCCAGTTCCACGATTAAGTCGTTGATCCTGTTTTTCAAAACACGCAAGTTAACGCTCTTGAATTTGGTCTTGGTCATGGAGGACACATCGCCTTCTCTGAAAAAGCATTTGATGGCCTCCGCCGGCAGCTGTCTTATGTCATCAGGCAAGGAAAATATATTTTCGTCGCCGTTCAAGTGTATATGCTCGCCATAATCGATCAAGTAGGCATCATAGCCACCGCCATCTGCATAGTCATTGATTGTGACACGTGGAATGATCTGTTCCAGGCAGTCGTACACGGCAAAGATCTCCCCGAAGTTGGGCAGCTGGTCCAGCTCCTTTAAAAGTAAATTTCCCTCCAGTAGGCGTTGCAGCGGCTTTGCATCCCACTTGCCAACAAAGAAACAGTTTTCTTCTATGTTAAGATGCATCACGGCGGCATTTATCACATTTCCCTCCGGAAAGGCTGCCACGTTCTTCACGATCTGATTGTAGATTTCACTGCTGGATATCCTCGTTCCGCCACTCGGAGGCTCGAGTCTTTGCTTGCGTGGGGAAATTGGCAGCATGCTTTTTGTTGCGGAAACAGTGGCCGTGTCATCTACATGTGCTACGGGCGGTAAGGCTGTTAAAGGTTTTGGCATTGCCTCTACGATGTCTGCATCAGACTCACTTAACCAACTCGATCGCGTGGATAGCGAAAGGGTATCCGACACAGGCTTGGAACGAGACAATGATGACTCGACATTTTGCACTAGAGGTGCCGACCGATTGTCCTTCACATGTTGGATTGTCTGTCGTCCGTGTGGACGTTCATCCAAGACATTTCCCACTTCAATACCATGCTTGTTCGTGTGCGTCAGGATGTCGTTGCGCCGGAGATGCTCGTCGTTATTTGCGACCAATAGTCCGAGCTTATTCAGATTAAGGTGCATGTTCCACTTGATCACGTTTTCGTTGAAACTACTCATGCTACCTAGCAAGAGATCGTGCATGCCGATAAGTGCTCTATCCTCTTTTTCCACGTTCACCCACCGTTCGTCCAGAACTCGGCACAAAATATCTAAATCCCGCTTAAAGTTTGCTAACTTATTTTTTAGTTTTTCTACATTGTTGTCACACAACTGCTTTACTGCCAAGAAATCTTTTAAATCCATTGTTTTTCGATACTTATTATAGACAAAATGCAATAACAACTTGATCACGTCGATATAATGTGCAGCCACAAATAACTGTAAATACGTGACGGTCGAGGGCAGCAACGCCATTTATGGCACTGCGACTAATATCGATGGTTTTTCGCAGCCCTAAGTCCGAGCTGTTTTCGAGCACTGCTGTATGTGTTGGAAAATGCATAACAATTTGTATGAAATCGTGCGTTGCCAACAATTGTTGCGAATTGCGCTTCTTTTCTGTGTATTTTTCTAATTTTTTTAAGAACAAGTGATTAAATGAATGATAACATAGTATCCACCTTTGTGAGTAGTTTTGTGTTAAATCCTCTTGACCGTTAATCAAATAACACTCCGTTTTAGGAGCTGGGCGACGTTCTAGCCACCCGCTGTGGAAACACACTCACCGGCGTTTTTGTGCCGGGCTCAAAAATAGCCATCAGTGCCTACCGTCACGTCAAGTGGAACTCACGAGATGCCCCCACCGAAACAGCCGGCCAGGATCCCGTGCTCATCTATCTGGCACAGGAGACTACACTGTTTGAAGAGCCTGTTCTGCGAAGTCTGCTGGCCGAGTCGAACGTGACATTTGCAACTCTGCAAGAGCTGGGCCTGAAGGCATCAAGGGCGGAATATCTGAGAGTTTCACTCGCATATCGCAGCTTGGTGCGGGCCTGCCTTGAGAGGCTGGATCATGCCAAAAAGACGCCTGAGGTGCAGAGCGATGAAGACCGGCTGCAACGCATCTCCGAAACCATCATTGTCTTCTATGCTGCAGAGTGTCTCTGGCATCTCTTTGAGATTCTCTACATGCAGCAAAATCAGCACGTTGTGCCCCAGCTGCTTGACTGGGCACGCTTTTATGCACCGCAAATCGAGGACCGAGCCACCGATTTTTTTCTTATGGAGGCGGGGGCCAGCGAGAATGATGACTACTGGGACGTTCTGAAGTCTCTAGTCATGGTGGGCGCACTGGACGTCACTCGTGCCATCCTAGTCCAGAACCGCAAGGCCAGCCAGCCAGCATTCAAGGCAGCCGAACTGATACTCACATCAATGCCCGTGTATCAAGAAGGAGTTCCACTGAAGAAGTTTCACTCGCAATGGGAGCATTGGCATGTAGATGCGGAGCGTAAGATCCAAGCGAATACATTTGGCTCTGAGCCAGAGCTCGAGGAGCTCCTTCAGCTGGTCACAGGCAACAATGAGAAATGGGATGCCGGCATCCAGGAGTCAAGCGAATGGTACGAATTCCTGCCTGGCTATCTGCTCTACACCAAACCCACCTGCAAACCCTTTGAGTTGAAAATCGCTGCCGCCAATTGGTTGAACAGATGGACACTGCTCCATCCCGACAGGCAGCTAAACAACATGGACCGCATGATCTCGCAGCTAATGGAGCATGATCTAAGGCTCTTCATTTACGATACCCAGAAGATCAACGACACCCATTGGCTAACCACACATTTGATCGATTTGATCTACCATTCTGGCGAGCTTAAGGGCTACTTTGAGCAAAACAACATGTGAGTGGATTTCATTTCGAGGCTGTTCCATTTTTCTTAATTGAAGATTCTTCGCAAACATTTAGTGATCTTCCGGCACTGCGTCACTCCATGATATACGAGTATGGCAGCTATTTGATGAGCACACGCAGCCTTTGGCAGCTGGGAGTTGATTACTTGGACTGTTGCAAGCAGGAGGGGAAAGCAGCCATGGAGCTGCTTCTGCCACGCATACCGCTGCGTAGCGACAGGCATGCCCTCAAGCTTATGAGCGTGGCCCGACAGCGGGGCCTGGTGGATGTGGAGCAGGAGATATGCAAAGTACTATCCAGACAATCCTTCGACGATAGGCGCTATGGCAGCGCCTTAGAGTGGGCCATACGCTCCAAGGATGTCCTGTTGGTCACAGGAATAGCTGACTTTATATTGAAGGTGAATCCAACATCTGTTTAATCGCAGCATTTAGTTAAAACGATTTGTCATTATAGAACTATTCCAAAACGGGAAATATGCTTTGTCCGGATGTTATTGTCAGCATTGGAAGTCGCATGTTTATCTCGCCGCGCTTAGTCTTCCTCTCCAAGTACTTTGAGTTCTACAAGCTTTACCGCAAGCGCGACTTTCTGTCTGCAGTCGAGCTACTGGTTAACCTATTAGACTCCAAAATAACTCCAGATTAGTAAGTTTTCCATTTGAAAGACAATCCATGCAATGTAAACGTTTCTTCTTTCCCATTAGCTTCTGGCCATCCTTGCTCATTGACACTGTTCCGTTGCTGGAGTCGAACGATCCGAAAATCTTCTCGAAAGAGACTGTAGCCATCCTGCATCATCTGGAAACGGAGCTGGTTCCCATTATAGAGCGTAACACGGACAAATTAGGAAACGTAAGTTTTAATTCAGCTCAGGGATTTCCAAGCTTTAATACCAATGACATTCGCAGAAGAACGCAGAGAGCGTGCTCAAGGATTACCGCGTGGAAAATGTAGATGAGATTCTCAATATAATGCGCTTGGCCTGCGCACGCAATTTGGCCAGGGCCCTGGTCATTGAAAACACACATAGCATTTATAATTGAATGAATGCATTTGTAGTATAATTTATTTCTGTATTTTCTTTCCAATACATCGTAATTTGTTATTTACTTAATGGTTTTGCATTGCTAATCTGCAATTCATACGCTTTTTGTTTGTTTTTGTTTTGTTTCTTGTGCCTCTTTGTCTGCTATTTATTGTACCAACAACGCTACTCGTGACCTTGACTGGCGGCTGCGGCTGCCCATTGACTAAATGGAAATCAATCCAAGCTGATTGGGGGTACTGGAGGGATCTGCACAGTACACATCTATAAAAACCATCATCCATTCCGACGAATCTCTTGAGCAAATCTCTTAACAACAAATTCTCCCCGCATTACAGAATTCTAAGCTAGTGTAAAACAGTGGATGGGTTTGTAATGGTATACGAGAGGATTCTCTGGATCTGTAACACTACCCAGTCCAAGTTCGAAACAAAATTAAAATCCTAGGCAAATAATATTATAGGGGACTTTAGCTGCACTGAAGAGGGTAAATAAGTTTACACGCGTACCTAACAACTATTAAACAACGCACAGAGCACAAACGACTACAGACATATGTATATACTATACTAGGTATACGTATATAGAGATATAAAGTATCTGTGGTTATTATATATGTATATATTAACTATATATGTATGTATATGTTGGGGGGAGGATGTTTATCATTATGAGAATCGCACGGCCTTGTACAAATGTTCGGAATTACAATTAAGTGTGGCTGCCAGCCAGCGCTTGGCATTCATTATACAAATGGTCCTTAAAAACAAATCATAAAAACTAAACTATAATTAGTTGAAGAGCCGATTTAAGGGGATGTGGGTCACGATAGAGTATGCTTCACCAACTTCTCTTAAAACGCTTGCCAAATTATCAAGCACCAGGCAACAGAAATGACAACAAATTAAACAATCAATTACAATGAAATTCTCCTTAAAGAGATTCAAACTAAACAGAACACTTTACATACATAAATGATAAAATACCTTATACATCGGTTTTTTTTTCAATAAATAAGATTAAAGACTTGGGAGTGGAAACATGGAAAAACAACTAATATAGGCCTCGAAACATTTTTCTATTAAATGGCTTTCAAGTCGGTAGCTATCGAGTAAGAGTATACCCACAAGAGACAGCAGTTTGAGAGTATGTATGATCTACATCCTGTTGCCTAGTGCCGGCGTCAGTGAGCGACATCATTGAGTACGCTGCTTGAGTATTTTCGCTTACGCTACACCAATACATATTTGTTTTGTTTATAATGCGCGCATACATAGAACGCGAGTGGAGAGTGGAGGGTGCGGGAGACTAATTAATTATGCTTTGCATTGGCAGCTCCAGCTGCCGCGGCTGCTGCTGCTGCCACACTCGTCGAAGATGGAACGGGCGGGGCTGCAGTTGCTGGCACCGCAGCCGTGACCGATGCTATGGCACTGCCGCTTGTTATGGAGCCCAGGCGTGAGAGTGAGGGCTCCCGCTTGGGCGGTACAATTGGCTTGGTCGGTATGGGTGGCGGTGCACCGCGAGCACCCGCTGGTGGCACAGTCACTGGGGGCACGGCAATGGGAACAGGATGTGGATGCGGTGGTGTGGCCGTCTGGTCAAGAGCAGCCGCTGCAGCCAGTGCAGCATACTTGCCACCCGGAGCCCGTTGAATTGTGGCCGTGGGCTGCATTTTCGCCGGCGAGGGGGATGGTGGCGCCACCGTAGGAGCACTCACACTAGCGGCACTCGCTCCTGCATCCACCGATGATGTGACTCCAGCCGCAGTGCTAGTCGCTCCAATGCTATTACTGCTGGCTGTGGTGTGGTTGATGACTGTGGGTGCTGTGGCCGTACCTGTGGGCGCCGTGGCAATCCCAGCGCTGCGTATGTTCTGTCCGGGCGCTATGGATCGGGCTATTCCGGTTTGTGGGCCCGACACCGGCATGCTGCTTACTGTGGCTGTTGGCTGCACAATTTTGGCGATGTTTGCCATTGGTGGTGTGGCACAAGCGTCGTCTGCAATATTTATATATGTAAATGGTGGAATGTATTAATATCTTGTGAATAAATCCTAAAGAAATTCTTCGGATTCCCGAAGTGTGAGTGCCCTTGCAGAAGAGACGAGAGGATTAGGAATTAAACTTGAGGAAAGCATTGGCCAATGAAGCCCTCTGCAAGGGTAAAAGCTGTGAGGGTGTCAATGTTTTGGCGTGAACGTAGAGCACTCTAATAGCCAAAGGCTGTTTCTTTCATATTCAGTGCAAGATCCAATGACATGAAGGTGAGTGGCGTGGCGTGGAATGGCGTGTCGTGTCTTAGTGTGGGCAATGGGTGACTGGTTGTTGGTGCAACAGTGGAGTGCACAATAGTGGAGAAACGTCACAAAACAAAAAACAAATCACCTTGCAATTGCGTAACATTTTTCTAACAAAATATTTCAGCTTCAGAAAGGAATTCGAAAAAAAGTAATAGATGTAGAGTTATAGTTCATATAGAAAACGATAAAGAGGGAAATCATAATTACAACAGCCAAGTTCGATTGGGTGGCACACTCCCACTTCTTCCTGCTCTGCAACACTCACCGCTGAACTGACGCGCCTTGTTGGCAGCCACCGTTGAGCTGCTGCCTGCCAGTTGCTGGTGCTGCTGCTGTTGCTTCTTCAAGGCCTCGTGCTCGGCACGCAGCGAGTTGAGCTCCTGCTCCAGCTCTTTGACTCTATTGGGATAGAGAGTAGGCTTTAGGTTAGTGATTCGTTTGAACAAAAGAAAATTGCATGGACAAACCGAAGCTCCTCTTTTGCCAGTTTGGCCATTATGGCTTTGCGTTCAATCTCCATTGACAGCGCTTGCTTTTCCATTTCCTCTTCCATGCGAAGCGACTTTTTGCTTTCCTCCTCGAGGCCCTCAGCGATGGTGTCCGAACGCTGCTTCTCCTCGGCCAAGATCTGTGCCAAATCCTCTGAGCGCTTGCCTAAAATTATGTTTGATTTTTGATTAATTTATATATATTGCTTGGGTACAGCGACACCACTTACCCTCTTCAATGTACTTCATCAAAATCTTTTTTCGCTCGGCTATCAGGAGGAGAACAATCTGCTTCTGTCGATTGCGCTCGTACTCGAGTGTCTCTTGAAGCCTCTGCAGCTCCTTTTCCATTCTGGCCACCTGGGCCCGCTCGTTTTCAAGATCCTGCTTTAACTTGGAGCGCTCCATCTCCAGGCCATAGGTGATGTCATCTCCCTGGGCCGTGTCATGCTCGTGCTTACGCTTCTCCTCCTCCAGCTCCTGCAGCATGCGCTGGTTGTTCTCCAGGGATTCGGTGAGTATGTTGACCATGCGGACATGAGTTGCCCTCTGCTTACTGACCATTTGGTACTGCTGCTCCATCTGCTGTTCAATGATCTGCCGCACCTCCATCTCTGCCTGCGCCGCCTGCGTGGAGGACTCCCGAGAAATGAGATTCCCGTTCATGGCGATCTTATCGCGGAATATTGCCGCATACGGATCATTGGGCTGCACCCGCTTGGTTCGCAACTGTGTGATTAGTTGCTTCACGCGCTCGTTGCGCAAGGCGGCAATGCAGACATCCCGAGCCTGCAGCTCGCCCTCCAGATAGTACAGCATTTTCACCAGCTCGCTGTGCGGCAGCTCGGAGCGCGTGCGTCCATTGCTGCTTGAACTCGGCGGCTGCTTCTGCACTCCTCCCGGACCCGGTTTCATGGTCTGAAACTCGTGAGTGGCGCACACTGTGTCACTGCCAGAGGCGGACCCGGGACAGTTATCCATTCCATAGGTGACGTCGGAGACTACATCTGGGTCGGCCTTTGAATTGCCCAAGAATCGGGCTGGGCCTCCACTACTCTCCTCCACGAATGTCTCCGAGCTGCTGCTATTGGAGTTTTGCTCCATTTTTCCCCAACTTTCTTCACAGCATAAAATTGTTAGCGAGACTTTTGCTTGAGTCGCAGTTGGTTATGGGGCGGCCTGCCGAATACGAATTGCACTGCAGGCACAGGCCAAGACTCTAATACACTTTAATGCTGTGTCTTTAGCTAACTCGAAGGGGCATTTTAGCTGCAATTGGCACTAATTTAATAACTTCTGGTACACAAAAATTCTTTGTTGCCGTTGCCGTGAAAAATAGGGCTGGGAGAAAAATCGATAGCGCCATCGAAACTATCGATGGTTTAAAAATTAGCCGACCATCGATAGTACGTCTCAGCCCAAGAAACTATGATTTTATGCGATTAATGCAGTTTTTATTTAAATCCACCCGGAATACGGAATAGAATGGCATTATCTGGTATTTAGTTTTATTTTTTAAATACAAATGGCTTTGTGGTATTGTAGGCTAACGAGTTTCTAATATGCTTACCCACCAGACGATCGGCAAGGGGTATTAAAGCCGGTCTACGCACATATATGCCCGCTGAGTGTGGCGTCCACACCCGAAGACTGCACTCGCAGTTATCGGGCAAGAGTAGGCCCAACCATCCTGCCGAGCTTAGTGTAATATCACAATTCAGCCTGTCCTCATTTCCTCCGCTGTTGCTATTGCTGTTGCTAACAACAATATCTTGATCTTTGCATTGAAGGCCTGGCCAGCGTTTCAATCGAACCTCTAAATCCCCGCTAGCCGATGGAATACCAAGAAAGGGAGTTCCCAGATAGCGCTTATATACTGCTTCTGCGTTTAGGGTGTCTGCTATCATCACAGGAAGGTTCTGTGAGGCGAAAACAAAAATCTTAAGCCAATCGTATTCCTTTTCATACCCGGTGAGATCCAATATATCTATGCGGGCCAAGCCTCCAAGCATCAAACTCATCTCGGGTCGCAGGCGAAAGGCCCTGGGGCGAATCATTGTCGTTGGCTGCAACTGTGCGAGCTCCTCGGCGGTCAGAAGATGAGTCAATTGATCGGGATGCATCACTCCTGGTGTGTCGTACACCCAGCGAGCGTCCCGATACTCTGCCCCACGTTCGTTTAGGGTGGTTATGGGCTGGGTGCCAACTGCCATCGAGAACGAGTCATTGACCACCTCAAGGCGATCGAAGCTGCGTCCCACTTGAGAAAATGGCTGAGCGGCTGCAACAGCTCCGGTTTTTTGAGCCTGATCCCTACGCAGCTTATCCAGGGCGGCCCTTTCGCCACGTTCTGAGAATAGGCGTTTGAAACGTTGATAGACTCGGCTGTTAGATGGTCGGAAGATGGGGAATCTCAGCAGTTGTAGGGTTGTTCCTGGCCAGGGACAGGTCGTGGCCTTTCGCACAAGCTCACTGGCCTCCGGGCGACAGTAGTCCGAGTTGAGCAATATATTAAACAGCGTACTCTTGCCCACATTCGTGCATCCCAGCAGATACACATTTCCCTTGTACGCCCAGGTCTTGTGCAGCTGTGTGATCAGCTCCTCAATGCCGTAGCCTGTCTTGGCCGATATTAGACTGACATTTTTTATGTTGAGCCCGTCGCCGCCACCGTGCTGGACGAACTCACGCTGCAGGCAATGCTTCACGTGATTCAGGTAGCTGTTGCAGTCGCGTGGCAGAAGATCCACCTTATTTCCTACCAGGAAGACCGGGCGCTTCGTCCCGAGAACGTGCTGCATGCCGGGCCAAATAGAGCTGGGAAAGTCCAGAAGGTCCACCAGTACGACTGCCAGGGCAAACTGATCTTGTATGCGCGAAATTGTATCCACATAGGAGGACGGTGGTACATCTACATCCAAGGCAATGTTGTAATGATTCAAGAAATGGCATCTTTGGCAGGTGATGGTTCTCAGCTCCTGCTGCGAACGACCTTTGAATATCTCGCTGGGTATGTAGCCGGGCATGGAGATGTTAGAGCAGTGCAAGTGTGCTCCACACCCGCTGCATGGAACTGTTGAAGGGGGTAATGAGGCGTCCGGGGTGCCGTGCTTGGATTCTGAGCTCTTGGATCCCTCGTAGAACTCGTAGTCGTCCATCCAATCGTGGGGAAACTGTGAGTTAATTGGAGCAGGCGGGTTAGATGACTTCCATTTGGTCTCCAAAACAGAGCTGTAATAAACGTGCTCGTGTTTCTTGTAACGTTCCCTGGCCATTAGCCATGCCTTTTGGCGGAAGCTCAGTGTGACATCGGTAGCCGAATTGTGCAGTCGCGTCCATCTTAAGGATACATTATTATTAATAATCTTAAATAATCGCGAGTTTTTTAACATTTTTGTCTTTATCCATTTGCACACTGTGCCATTTGGTGTTGGGAAGCAGCTGAGAGTCTGGTGCTGTGAAGTGCCGCAAATGGTTCTCTTCGCTCTCTTTGATTTTGGGTTCTACTGAAACCTTAATTTTTTAATAATCCAATTAAATAGAGAGCATAAAACTGCCAATCGTGCCAAAAATCGATTCATCTATCGGATAAAACTCTTTTTTAAGCGCTGAGAGTCTTAGCTAGCTATTAATATTAGACAGAATATCAAAATCGAGGAATATGGACACATAGAACCATTAACCCGTTTTCACCGGTGGGCATTTAAGTATTCCCACGAATATTGTGCATCTTGAAGAAGGTAAGCTCAGGTCAGGTGAAAGTTATCTTGTCAATAATTGGATTTACAAACAAAACTGTATTCTTTGAGCAAATTAGCTCTAGTTATTCACCTGCTCAAATAGAGAGGGTTCAAGTGGGTTAAACCCGTTCACTCACTCATGATTTATGGTATCTCGGCTTATAATACAGTATATAAATACATTTTTCGGTATATTACGGTATATTTCTGCGGTACCACTGAGCGTGAACGAAAGCAGAAGGAAGAAGAAAAAAGAAAGCAGAAAGAAAAAAAATTAGCGAAAGCAGAAGGTGAGTTTTGTGTCGTGTATGTATTAAAATTGAATCAAAAAGATATGGAAAAACGCATGGCTACAACGCAATTAAAGTGTGTTTTGTAATCATTGCGCATTGGTAAAAGTACAGAGTGCACGCCAAATACAAAGCAGCAGCACAAAAAGTGATTAGGAAAGTGTGTGGTGTGGAAAAAAGACATAAGTGTACGTGAGTGATGGTAGTATGTGTGAGAAGTAGTGACTGTATGCGTGCTGCTGCTGCGTGTATATGAAACAAAGTAACGCGAAGCTCGACCTAATTTTAAACATTACAATAATATTTGTAATGCAAGTACAAAAAATAAAATATAGCAATATGTGCAATGAAAGCATCGCCCAATACACCGAACAAGAACCTTGAATATTCTTGTTGTTCCCATGGCATGCCACGAAGAATTGCCGCCATTGCCTTGTTTGCCGTGCCTTTTCTAGCCAAGACTCACACATTTCTTCAAGTTTGTTCTTTTCCACACTTCTGTTGCACACGCGTTGAGTAATAATTCCACAACAACAACAGCAAGAACACCAGCTTCGTCGTCGGCGGCGGCAGCAGCTCAAATTTTGTGATGTTGCAACTTTCGTTCGAACTCGTTTCGAACTGTTGTTGTCGCTAACTCACTAAAAACTCAGAGAGAAAGACTCGTTCCTTTCGTATTCTGTTGTTGTCTGAGGCGATTAAGCAAAACTGGTATTTACCTTTATACGTCATCCGCTCGGATGCAGTTTCTTTGGAAGGCATTTCTTAATGGGGAAAAATCAATAATTCAAAATTATACAAATTTCAACATCCACTCCTATTGCCTCTTGAGCCGCAACAGCCCAACTAGATGAAGCTACATATAACCCCAAAGTACAAGTACACATACACACATAAATGCAGTTGAAATTTCCAGCAAATGTCTGCTCTTCGTTGGCGAGGTTTTTGTATCGCTGTTGTTGTAGTAATGTAATTGCGAAATCATAACGGCAGTTGAAAGTTGAGAGCGCTTAGCTAAGTATTTGTGTGTGAGCCTGTGTCTGTGTGTAAAAAAAGAGAGAGATTGCTGTTGTAACTCTTTGCCTTGGCTCTCGGCACCCTTAAAGCCCCCCAGCCGCCTACACATATCAGCCGGCTGGAGCGTCGTAAGTGTAGGGCATGTGTGTGTCTTGTCAAGCTGGTCTCGCAAGAAACAAAACACATGTTGTCTGCACAGTGGGATGGGTGCACGTCGAACGATTCAATGTGTAGGAAAAGTATTTTGGTATTTGTAGTGAAAATTCAGATGAAGAGTTTCCTAGTTTTCGGCGCCATTTTGAAGAGATGGTTTTGATTCAACGTCTAAATAAAAACAGTGCATACACATTGCGTGCGATACTGTGCGACCGGGAGTGAGTCTCAAATTCAAATAAGCGAGCAAATTACTGAAAATGCAGAAGTTGCCTTGAAAAGTGAAAGGCATTCAACTCGCAGAGTCTCGCCGCTGTCTTTGATATTTTCGCTTAACCTTTACTTGCTGCAGTTTTTCTTGTTAACTCTGCCTGCACATTTGACATTTTCCAACACATGCAGCGTATTCCGAATTGCTATTTCCATTAGCCGTTGCACATGCGCTCAAACCTTTTATTTTGGCTCTGCATAGAATGTTTTTGTAGTTGTATTCAATTCATCGTCGTCAGCGCTGTTGCGCTCCGCGCTGAGCGACTCTGCTCTTTCGCAATTCCGAAAACTTGCTCTATTCGCAATCTCCCGCTCCATTCGCTTTTTGCTTTACGAATTTCGCCAAGTTTTTTGTGAGCACTTTTATTTGTCGCATTTTTACCAGTTTCGGCATTAATACTTTTTTTTCTCTTCCAGAATAGCAGAACGGTGTAACCACGAAGTTGAGGATTCTATTTTCCTAAAGCATTAGCCGATTAATAGCCATCTGACGGGGAACATTTCGGCCTCTCCTCCAAATTAAACTCCTGACATTGGAGCTGTGATCGCGCGTCCCGCAAAACCCCACCAACTTAAGCTTCTTCATGATGTCGTCGGATCAACAGTTCTTTCTAAAATGGAACGATTTTCAGACGAATATGGTGACCTCGTTCCGTCACTTGCGTGATGAGAAGAGCTTCACAGATGTAAGTTCTGATACCGTCAATGGGGAAACCCAATTGTATTTAATTGCCTTGGGGCTCCCAAGAGTCTTAGCTAATTCTGCACCAGCTCTGTCCGAGGGTCGCTTACCAACTCACATTGTCTGTCTACCTGTCCCTCAGACTCTTGTCTCTTCTTTTCTTTTACTTGTCTCTTCTTTGTGTTCATTTATTTGGTGACTTTTGTAATTTCGTGTTTATTTAGCAACTGACTTATAAAGTTTTCTTTTTATTTTGTTCACAGGTAACACTCGCTTGCGAGGGCCAGACCTGCAAAGCACACAAAATGGTGCTTTCCGCTTGCAGTCCCTACTTTAAGGCGCTTTTAGAGGTAAGTTTCTGCATAGTACGCTGTTCCGAATGATACAAACTAATGCACGATTATTTTTAACAACAGGAGAACCCTTCAAAGCATCCCATTATTATACTTAAAGATGTCTCCTACATACACCTACAGGCTATACTGGAGTTCATGTATGCCGGAGAGGTGAATGTGTCCCAAGAGCAGCTGCCAGCATTTCTTAAGACCGCCGATCGCCTCAAAGTGAAAGGCCTGGCAGAGACACCCAGTTCAATAAAGCGGGAGGGTTGATGGTATTAAACAATTAAAAAAAAAAAACACAAAATAACAAAAAGAAAATTCTAAGAAACCTAAATATATAATATGCAAGAAAACAAAATTCCAACAAGAGAAGAGAGAAACAACTTTACGAAAACGACATTTGGTATACAAAAATCATTTAAATCTACAAAATAAACAACAAAAGAAACCCACACAAAGCTGACAGATACAAACGTTTAGTCTGTAAAGTAATATTGGTAGTAATCAGACTAGAATAATATGGTTCCACCTGCCCAACCCCACTTATCCATGCCGGATCTACCTAACAACTTGCAAAGCTCTATCGATGTCCCATTTGAACTGTGTGTTTGTTTAATTTCTGCATAAAATAGTTTGTAAAATATTATATTTAAAACAACCAGAAAACAAAACAAAAGCCCCCCCCTCCCACTCTGTATAAAAGGAAAGATATGGACAACCCCTAACAAAGCAAAACAAAAAACGCACTTTTGTAAAGTAATTAAACAGGAGAATTCATTCATTGAAACTATATAAAGCTAATTATAAATATAGTGAGAAATGTGCAAGTAGAATGATAGAATGCCGCAAAGGGCGCGAATATTACGACACATTCGGTTAGTTTTTAAGCCACTTAAGTCACTTAACTACAACCCAAGCCCTTCAGATGATGCCACGCCCCTAGACACAAAACTCACCCACACCCGCACACACACACACACCGACAGAGATACAACAAACAACTTCATCCTTCATCTATACTTAATGAATAAAAGCAAAAAAAATGCAAAATTGAACTTTAATTTTTTGTGTGGACTCTTACGATATAATATAATGAAATGACATGAAATATTATCAAAATTCACTTTGGAAATACACAAGACAACACCTACATACATATATATATATATTTTAACTAAAAACCGAAGGCGATACAAGGAAGATTCAACTAAGTTTAAACGAAAACGGAAAGGAGCGATAAGAAGAATGAACTATACTTGAATATTATTACATAAAGTAAAATATTTATATGTACGAGTATGTATATGTATACATGTGAGCATAGATTTAAATAACTACGCTAAATAAACAGAATAATTCCAAAAAAAAACAAAAAAACGAGAAGGAACGTGTGAGACGCATCTTACGCGTCACAACTTTTATACCCGGCACTCAGTACTACATCTGCACCTTAGCGGTGTTTTGTCAAATTTTAAATATTTTCTTCATCTGTCATCACATCTACAACACTTCTCACACCAACACGCCGTTAGCTCGCCGCCCTACCCTAGACCCACACACTGCAGACTCGCGGCAAAGGTGCTGCCGCACACAAAAAAAAAACAATTATAAGCTGCGGGACGGGGTGGGTTAAAAGACGGCAGAGGCAGGGGTCGAGTGAAGCCAAAGCAGAGTGTGAATGAAAGAATGTGAAAAGAGCAACAAAAGCTGCGGGACAGGGTGGTTTAAGCCACTGAAAATTAATTTCTTCATTCTGGCTATAATTATGATCCAATCGGATCGCAATTTGGTGATCTGATAGATATGGCCATTCCCTACGGAATGTTTAGTGGTCTTTTATCTTCAGAATTGTAGGTTTGGGAGGTTTTCGCCCATTTGCGGGGGCGGAAGGGGGCGTGGCTCATTTTTTAAATACACTTGTAACAGTGTGAGCATACAGAAGTCTGGATGCAAAATTTGGTGGCTCTGGCTTTTATGGTCTCTGAGATCCAGGCGCTCGACAAGACGGACGGACAGACAGACATGACTCAATCGACTCGGCTATTGATGCTGATCAAGAATATATGTACTTTATGGGGTCGGAAACGTTTCCTTCTGTGTGTTACATATATTCACTTTGTGCATAAATACAATATACCCTATTTAGTCTTCGAGTACCGGCTATAAAAACAAAACCCAAACCAATCTTCAAATACTTTATTGACGCAGAAGATGCGAAGCCAGTGAAAGGGAAGAACGCAGCGGACATTTGAGACAAATTTCTTTGCTTTTATTTGATTCATAACATAATTGTCATTTTCATTAGGGCCGTCGTGTGCACTCTGTATATCATATTTCGCTTTTATATTAACAAAAATATGCTCCCTTATAATAAATTACACTATTATTTGATATATATTGCTGGATTCAGATCATATCGTCTCGCAGCACAATGCATTACCACTGCATTGATTGCGGGATTTGATCTAGCTTCACATTACTCTAGAGTTCTCCTTAGTTATTGAAGCAATACGCATTACGTGTATTCAGTTCAAATGGATCGGTTCGCATCTTTTGCTGATTATCCTCAATCGTGCGCGTCACATCCTCAATGAGATTCGGCCGCTCAGCGGAGCTAGGTGCACACGGTGACCAGATTTTGACGTCGTGGTCAATGCCGCTGGTGGCCAACATGCAGATACTGGGATGAGGCTGCACGCAGTTCACAATGGCGCTGTCGGCACGATAGGCGGCTCGAATTTTTCCCGTGTCGCCCTCCCAAATGTAGAAATTGCCATCATCTGAACCGGCGGCAATGAATTCGCCATGAACGCCCAGGTAGGTGGCCTCCTTAATGTCCGTGGTGATATTGCAATGACCCACATAGCGATGTTTGTAGTCCTTGGCAGCGGATCGCAGATTGTATTCCTCGTCGGTCAGGCGTAGATAGCGCGAGCCATCGTTCACTAGTACTGGCTCTGGACTGGGGGCATCAGTGTGCTCCGATTGTCGTCGATTTTCCTTGATGTCCTTGTGCAGCATGAGGACTCCATGGTTGTTGGCAAAACTGGGGAATCGCTGGATGAGCGCCTGAAGACACTTTTCCGCATCCTGTGGGCGACGAAGCTCCAGCAGGGCACGCGCCAGCCGAAAATGAGCTTTAACATAGGTGGGATCCAAACGAAGAGCCTCATGACAATCCCGTAGTGCTGCATAAATGTCCCCAAACCATCCACGTCGCATCAGAGCCGTAGCCCTGTTCAGGTAGAGAACTTCACCCCGCGGATACTTGGCCAAAGCAGCGGAATAGGCCTCAATAGCAGCCACTAGTTTTCCATTTTCGAGATGCTCATTGCCCACTTTCTTATGCACCTCTATGCTGGATGGTAAGGAGCGGCTTTTGTGAGGTGTCTTGAACTCCTCCTCTTCGTGTGTGGCTTGGGCAGAGTAGGCAGGCAGCTCGTAGAAAACAGGAGGCTCGGCACTGTTTAGGTCGTAGCGATAAATGTGTTCACAGCCCATGTTAACAAGCAATTCCGTTCCATTTGCATTGAATGAGAGATATGTGATGGCCCTCGACTCGTGGACAATGTTCCTGCTGATGTCCTTCACAATCTGTCCAGGAGCATAGTACGAAACGCACCCATCGGATTCTACAAAGAAATGTGTTGATTATAAGAGAAGAGAAAGGGAAATGCAATGCAAATAGACACGATACCATTGGCCCCACTTGTAGGCAACTTGCGCCGATCATAGATGCGGGCAAAGGGATCGTTGGTTCCCACAGCCAAGTACTCCGTTCGTCTAGGGTTTATGGCCAAGCATTTTGCTTCTGTGGTCGCCTCAACCTGATTACTCAGACTAAGCAGGCGCACTCCATTGCCTTCCTCGGGACGGCAGCGATGTGGCTCCCGCATGTCAAGCTGTAGTATGCAACCGTCCTCTCCCGCGGACCAAAAGATGTGCGGAGAGTCTTGGGCGGTTGCCAGTCGCTTGGCCCTCATCGTATGACAGTTACAGGAAAACAGCGTCTCATTCGCGTGATTGATGTCGTAGACGTAAATGAATTTATCAGCCGCACACGTAGCCAAAATGCTGTTGTTGTGCCTGGGTAGAAACTTGACCGAGAACATGTTGCCCAGATGCTTAGTGTTTATCACATGAACGCGCTGCTTGCGGAATGGGTCCCAGATCATAACTCTGAAATCATCTGAGCCCGAGGCCAGCAACAGACCGTCACTGCTCCACTCCAAGCAATTCACGCAGCCATCGTGACCAGTCAGAACCATCTCCTGCTCCAAACGATCTATGAAGGCTGGCGACGCTTGGAGCCGCCGCCGCATCATCTCATCAAAGGATATATCATATCCGTATTGTTGGCGCTGCCATTGCAAGGAGCTGGCATTCAAGGGCGCCCGCTCGTCGCTGTGGTGGCGTTGATAGCGCGAGCTTGAGTATTTGATGCGATACAGTTCATCGCTCGACATTATCTGGATGTAGATGAGATTATGACACTTGTATTTGTTTGTTTTCGAATTGTTTTCTTTTTTGTACTACTTGCATTTCACTGACCCCTGCACTTCCCTTTGCCTCCTCGTCCACTGTTGACAACTGTACGTGGCGTTACCAGATGGTTGGCGGTTTTTTGTAACGTACAATCTAACGCAAAAGTGAGCCTACTTTGCTAAGTTTAACTGGTTGGATGCGCCTCGCCTTTCAAAATATATCCAAATAAACTTTAAACAACCCCAGTCTGTGGAAAGTGTAATTTATTTTCGCTTCGATATTACTCGTATTCCACTACACTTCAAGTTGAAAACGCGTAAAAAGTCGGAAAAGTATTAAAAGTATTTATTTTCGATATAGAATTTCAAAGTACATGGCGGGAATTTAATGTAATAGGAAGTAAATCTTAAGATCATCAAGACAATTTTCTGGCGCAATCCCTGAGGGAGTTGATAAATATTTCAAAGTAATTTTTTGCCACTGTCCACTGGCCATCGACGGGTCCTGCGGTATCGGTGGGATCAAATCGGAGATAGGTAGCGGGTTTTGTCACACCTGCATTTTTATTGGGCTACGCCACGCCACTAATTGTTATTGCACGTTCGGTTATACCAGAATAAAGACGCATAACCACCTGAGTTTAGCCTTCCTATTGAATGGCACAGAAAATTATGTATGTAACTAATTTACCTAAAAACCTAAAAACCTAAACGACCTAAAACCTAAAACACACCTAAAAACGACCACAAACTACTATATTAAGGGTCAGTTATACAATTTTTATTGCTTAAAATCAATTACGTATTGTCTTGAAGATTTTAATAGATTCTTCCTATTTACATTCCATTCCCGCCAAGTACTTTGAAATAAATACTTTTAGTACTTTTTCCGACTTTTTACGCGTTTTCAACATTTTTTAAAAAAATCAAAAGTGCTGGAAAGTTGGAATACGACCACAGGTCGATAAGCCAATCGATAAGCAAACGTTTCATTTACACATCTCTGGATAAACTAAAAAATTGATTGACGAACGACGCGAAAAAGGGGGCCAGAAAAGTGAAAAATGTCCAAAGAAAAAGAGGACGAGTGCGAAAAAAAGGAAATGGGGGGCGCAGATGGAAAATCTTCAAACAGCGACGACTCAGATGAGTATCAATCAGCCGGCGAGGGTGACGATTCCGATCCAATTGCTCCGGAGCCCCAACCCCAAACCAACACACACCTGTGTGAAGACCCCACACCTGAGCACACACCCATGGCGACATTGGAGCCCCTAGATGAATACACAGTGTATCCGATGCATCAAAGCGTTTTTGAAGATGACATCAAGACATTGCAGCGCCGACTCCTGCTGCGCACCGCTCAGGAGGAGATTGGCAGCAAAGACAAGCACGGCAATACGCCACTGCATTTAGCCGTTATGCTGGGCAGGAAGCATGCCGTGCGCCTGCTTCTGGCCAACAACGCCCCCGTCAGGATCAAAAACAACGAGGGCTGGTCTCCTCTGTCCGAGGCCATCAGCTACGGCGACCGCCAGACAATCACTCAATTGCTGCGCATGTTGAAGCTACAGTCCAGGGAGCATATGGAGAAGCGCCGCGAGAAACTGGTGAGGGCTCTCAGTCAGATGCAGGACTTCTACATGGAGTTCAAGTGGGATTTCCAGTCCTGGGTACCGCTAGTGTCCCGCATTTTGCCCTCCGACATTTGCAGGTTATACAAGTCAGGCGCCTCTATTCGGCTGGACACCACCCTGGTTGACTTCAATGACATGAAGTGGGAGAGGGGTGACATTTCGTTTCTGTTCCGTGGCGAAGCTCCTCCCAGGGAGGCCCTGGTCCTGCTTGACAACGAGCAGGCGTGCTATCACCGCTTGCGCCACGAGGAGGCTGACATGGAGGATGAGGTGGATGGGCTCATGTCAACCGACATAATGGCAACCCAAATGTCTACCAAGACGATCAACTTCACCCGGGCGCAAAGCGGCTGGATTTTCCGCGCGAACCGCAAGGAACTCATCAGCGGTCAGTATCAGTGTGAGCTCTATACCATACAGGGCCTGATCATAAAGCAGCGCAAGCGACGCGAGCATCTCTCGCACGAGGATCTGCAGAAGAATCGCGCTATTATCGAGTCAATGCGGAGCTCAGTGGTACAACCCGACGGGCGTCGCTCCAGCCTGAACAGTCAGTCCACGACCACGACTACTGACGACGGCACACCGGCAGCAGGGAACGGCAATGCTCAGCCAGAGCTGCCACGACGCAGCTCGTTGCAAGCTCCCCCAGCCAGCGGTGTCACCTGGGATCAGTACTTGGAGGCTGCAGTGGGGCGATGCCCGCGCCTGGGACGCCCAGTCGTCAACAAGCAGTCCACCAAGACCCTGCGGGCCACGGTCGCCATGAGCACGGACTTCCCACTCAGCGTTGAAATGCTCTTGGACGTCCTCGAGGTGGTGGCTCCCCTGAAGCACATCAACAAGCTGCGAAACTTCGTGACGCTCAAGTTGCCCACTGGATTCCCGGTCAAGATTGAGATTCCCGTGCTGCACACTGTGACGGCCAAGGTAACGTTCCAGAAGTTCGAGTTCACCAACAGCATTCCCGATAAGCTGTTTGAGATACCCTCAAACTACTGGGAGGATGTGAGACGCTTCCAAGACTTATGACCAAGCGGCGGCTACGCTGAAGCTGAGGGCGAAGGGGAAGCCGAAACATTTCCGACGGCCGTCCAGCATGGATCCCAAACTGGACTCTGCGTGGACCTGAACACTTAGAGCAATGCAATACGTATCCCCAACCCCCACACATCCCTCTCCTGGCCTCTCCCTCGCTTAGATCGTGATGTACATTTCGCTGACAAATTACCCAAATTGCTTTCGAGCCGTTTTGCATTTGTATGTTTTCGTAGTTTTAAGATAATTTTATTGGCAGAACTTAAGGCAATGCAACAAAGCTCTCTATGGCCTGCTCCAAATTTATTCGTTACGCTGAAATTAAGAATATTTTCCATTTGGGTCGCTTGCCAAATTAAATTTTTAAGTAACTGCCGTGAAAATTTCAATCATTCGCCTACAATTTGTTATGTACTTCTATGTATATTTTGTTGGTTCATAATTCTGCCTGTTTTAGAAAAGGGCACAAATCTATGTGTTACATACGTATTATTTAGTATTCAAGTATTTATTGTAAGTTACATCTGTAGTGCATTTGGAACATTCTGCATAGAATCGCAACTGTTTCATAGCCCCTAAGACTTTGGCGAGTTGCAATGAATCATTAATAATGTGTTAGAGCAGCTGCTCGTTTGTGGAAACCACATATTTCTGTGCTATAAAATTGACTTTCTTATTATCCACTAATCGCCGCAAAATATAAGTTATCTATCAATTATTTGAGAGAAAGAAAGAGAGAAAACCAAGGTGGCAAATCATTGAGAGTATATTCTGACCAGATGACGACCATAAGCACAGTGTTCCACATACATTGCATTATTTTATTTATATTTGCATTCTGTTTCATGTTTAGTTCAATTTTAACTGTATATTTTTAAGGATCTTAATGTGAATCATGAAACTGTATCCTGCAACCCATACCCCAACCAAAAAGAGTGCATCGGACGAGAATGCATAGTAAAATATGTACATATATTTTTTAAATATGCTACAAGATGTACAGGAGAAGACAAACTTCCGTCACATCACCACAATTTCACAAAACAATATAAATAATCGCCAAGAGTATTTAAAAAGTGCGCAAAGAGTAAAGCAGCTTCACAAATCAAATAAAACTAAATAGATACAAAGAGATACAACATAAATGTATAGCGATGTCTGCATGCATGTAGTTCCAATTGTTTTTAACTGTGAATAGTGTTTGTATGCACTCGTATTACAGCAAGGGAATTGTTATTTCATTTGATTTGCCTTCAGGCCGCGAAAATTTGTTAATTTTTGTACAACTGCCATTGCATTGTTTTTCATTTGGGCACAATATTTTGTTGTTTTGTATACTTTTCCAGCAGGAATCAAATATTTAAAAAATGACGGAAACATTAGGTAAAACATTTGGGAACATGTATTCCAAAATACACACCAAAAGCTAAAGAAAACTGTTGAACCAACGGATATAACAGAAATTGTATGTTTATTTTTTTAGTGGAGGAAAGATAAAGATATATTTATACATGTCGACTATAATTGTACTTGAACCGAGCATTTGTATACGCTCTTTAATATATTTAAATATATATGTATACACACACAAAAATAAAAAGCTGTAAATGTGCAAACCAAATAACAATTGTTTTATTTCTGGCTGGGTAATTTGAATTGGATGCCAGTCAATGTGTTGTTGTTGTTGTTGCTCTTGTTGATACTTAGTATATATATTATACTGTTTGGTTAGTGGTATTGTCTTCAAAATCTTAATATTTAAGATTCTTCCTATTTCCCGCCAAGTACTTTGAAATAAATACTCAAAAATAAATACTTTTAATACTTTTTTACGTATTTTTATCTTCAGCCAATACAATTTTTCGAATTCAGAGCCAGTGCTGTGTAAGGAACTATGCATTATAAGGCATTGACCAGCTGTTTGACTCACCATCAACCACCATCAATCTGCAAAAGCACAAATTTTAGATATTTTCATTAAAAAAGTCTATATACGGCACACTTTTTAAGACCGCTTTAAAGATGATTGTGTCGCGCTTGGCATTTCCAATCCAGGCTGCACTGCAGCAGGCCGTCAAAGCTGCAGGAAAACCCAGCAACATCGTCACCCAGCGTCGCCACATGTCGGGTATATATTTTCGCAGTGGAGCACTAAAACCAAAGCCCGACGAGATGCCCTTCGGAATTTTCGCCATATTTTGCGCAGTTATACCGGGACTCTTCATTGGCGCCACCATAAGCAAGAATGTGGCCAACTTTTTGGAGGAGAATGATCTGTTTGTGCCATCCGATGACGACGACGATGAGGATTAAATCCATCCCAGCTTCCCCACTGACGAAGTTGGAGTCAGCCCTAGTCCGGATGAATAACCATAGCCAATGGTTTTTCTTCCTCGTTCGAATATTCGTGCACTCAGCCAAATGTTTATGCATCTATGTTTTAGCTTTTCATTCAATGTAAATCAATACTCTTAAGATCCCCAAAGTTCTGGCATTTTATACTCTTGTTTGTATGTACTTACCAAATCCTGCTTTAAAATGTTTTAATGATGTTCTATAGATAAGATCGATACGCTGATGAATGTTAGATCAATAAAGTTTATTCAACTATCATAATGAAATATTCCCATAAATACTTGGCAATATCCAATTACATAATTGTGGACAAAATTCTTGGGCTGGGCGGGGCTTATTAAAACATTTGTATATATATATATATATTATACATATAGACATCTTATATACCTACATATGTAGATGTCCGCCAAAAAATATTAAAAAAACAAAGCAGTTTTTTGCCGAAGTGGAATTTTATTGTAATTAATTTTGGGTGTACAAATTTTTTTTTTTATATTGAATTTTTATCTCTGGCGACTATTACAATGTACTCAAATAATTGTAATTTCTGGGCTTGTTTCAAATTTCAACAATTCTATTTTCTGAAATTTACAAATTGTGGATTATATCGCTTAAATTGGATACATATATATCTGCTTTATATATATATAAGTGTGTTGTGGGTTTGCTTTTATTTTGTGAAAAGTAAAAGGTTTCCATTGCGCAATTTTGATTTACTTCAATCTTCAGCAAATCTCTGAAATATTTATGTTCCATTTCGGGTTTTTGGGTGTTTTTTTTTTATAGCTGTTTTCCTTTTTTGTTCTTGGTTTTGTTTTGCGTTTTTTAAATATTTTGCATTTATTGCGTATAAATGTTTTTTGTATTTTGCAATTTTTTCAAAGATTTTTTTATTTTTAGTTTTGTTTAATAAAAAAATATGAATTTCACATCCCCGTTCGACACTTGGAGGCGTGGTGACCTGACCTATCTGTTTGCTTTAATATATCGTATGAATGGTGTAAAACAGTATTTATTTATATTCAATAATCTTTTATCTCGCTATAACAGAATTTTAAACCAATTGGGGACACTGGCGATCGCCTGGCCCGCCCGTGATCGTTCGTAAAATATTTTGCAAATTGTAATAATTGTGTGTGTGTGTGTGTGTGTGTGGGGCTTCCCTTTTCTCGGATAAACATAAGATCCGGCTGGCAATCCATTTGATTTGCCTCTACTTCTACTTGTTGTAGTCTCTTTCATCCCATCAGTATGCTCCCTCCATACGGGGGTTGCGCTTTAGCGCTTTTCTTGTATTTCTTTCTGTTTTGTTTCCATATATTTTTGTGTAATATGTGTGTGGTTTTGTGTGTGTGTGTGTATATATATATTTTTTTTTGTGCTTTTACATAGTTTTGCAATTTTTTTGTTGGTTTTTAAACTTGTTTTTATACGTGTTCATTTTTCAACATATTTTCTCTCTGCTGTTGGTATTTTGTATTTTTTTCTATCTTTTTTAAAGTAGCAAAAACTTGACTCTCATATTCTTGCGGCTTGCGTTTTCCCTTTTCTGCGCTTTCTTTTCTTTTATTTTCTTTTCGGTTCTGATCGCAGTTCTCTTTCACATTTTTTCGTTTTTTATTTTAAGATTTTTTGCAATTTTTTTGTGTTGTTTTCTTTACTTTTTTAAAAGTGTGTGTGGATCTCTCGCTTCGCTTCTTTCGCTTTTTCTAAACGCAAAGCTTTTTTAAAGTTTTGATTTGAGAAATAAAGAAAATAAAATTACATTTCGCTTTCGTGTCGGTGTTGTTGGACTTTGTTGTTGGTAAGTGTTAACGAAAAAGTGTTCGATAAAAAAGGTTTGAAAAAGCTAGAAACTGGTCGGCATTTGCTCGGATTGGATCGTAATGTATTATTCTTTCTACAATCCAATATGTTTGCTTTAATTGTGTTTATTTTGCATTTATTTTTTACGCATACAAATTAGAATTGAAACAATTTAAGCAATGCCAAAAAATAAACGTTCAATTCGCATTTGTTTTCTCTTTTTTGCGTTTCCATTGTTCTTCTGTAAAAGTGGACTAATTGATATCTTCAAATCGATTTGCTGAATTCGTGTGTTTCTTGCTTTTCTCCGTTTTCTACGTGTACTTGCGTAAATGCGTTCGAAATTAAATGATTCTTTTAAGTTGTTTCTGGGATTGAGAAAAGAGCGGTTGGAGCTCTTAACGCTCCAACCTCGAAGTTGTTTTGTGTATTAATTTTTGTCCTTGGAAGCGTGCATTGTTTTTTGCACGAGAATCATTGAATGCGAATTGTTAATGAATTGAAAGTAAAGAGGAAAACTGCAAGAGAATAAAATTAAAAAATTAGAAACGGCCCCAAGGTTCGAAGACTCCGTAACTACATACTTTTTTGTGTCGAGTGTTTTTTGTAAAATTTTCATCCGCTTTTGTGGTTCGAGCTTAGTTTGCGGGCTCGCTAACGCGATGCACCTGGAGCACGGCCACAGCTTCCTCCACCTTGGCCTTGAGGGCCTCCTGATCCTCTAGCATGTGCAATAGCTCAGAGTTCTCAATCTCCAGCAACATACCAGTAATCTTTCCGGCCAGGGCCGGGTGCATGCGCTCAATCATCGGATACAGGCGCTCACCCAGGATCTGTTTCTGCTCCTGTGGCTTTGCATTTGCCAACAACGAGGCAATGAGCTTCTCGGAGTCTGAAAGGATCGGAGAATAGGTAATAATAATAATGCGATTCCACAAGCGATATGGTCCGTTTTTTCAACTCACTCTTTCCCTGCAACTGCTGCGGCATGGGCTGGGCCTGCTGCATCTGCTGCACAGGGGGATTGCGCATGTTCGATGTGTACTTGAAGCTGGGAGCACGCTGTTGGGCACCGCCAGCGATCTGAGCACCAGCTATTTGCAAGTTGGTGGCAGCAACTGTCTGCTGGCCGGTGATGGCTCTGGCTCCAGTGTTGCGCATGTTGTTGGCAGCCGCGGCAGCAGCGGCGGCATGCGTGCCCTGCACCTGCTGTGGCTGGGCACCGCGTGCACCGGCTGCAGCCGAACGGAACTGTGTGGGCACCGCTCCGGCTGCACCCTGGAAGCCTCCAGCAGCGGCGGCGGCAGCGCCGGCCTGCACGCTCTGCACGGTGGCAGCTGGGCGCACCTGAGGAGCCCAGCGAGGGGCGTTGCGCATTGGGGTGGCCATCTGGGGATTGTAGAAGCGCTGGCTCGAAGGTAGGGACGGGACAAAGAAGCCACCAGTGGTATTGGGCTGGAACATCTGTCCAAGCTGCTGCATGCGCATGCCGGTCATGTGGCGCATGTACTGTGAGGCGAGGTGAGCCTTGCGCTCCTCCTTCCGCTGGGCCAGGGCCACGTATAGAGGCTTGCTGCCGATCACGCGACCATTCAGTTCTGTCACAGCGCATGTGGCCTCATTGGGCGAAATGAAGCAGACGAAGCCGAATCCCTTGGAGCGACCCTCCTCGTCGGTCATGACCTTGGCCGAGGTAATAGTTCCATACAAAGAGAACTCCTTGCGCAGACGTTCATCGTTAATTGTGTCGTCCAAGTTCTTGACATACAAGTTGACACCAAAAACTGAGTCGTGGCGCTTCTTCTTCAGCTCCTCGAACTTGCGCTTCAGCTCTTGCTGGCGCTCAGCCTTTTTCTGTGCACGAGCCACGTACAGAGACTTGCTCTCTCCCATATCCTTGCCGTTGAGGGCCTGAACCGCGGCTTCAGCAGCCTCTGTTGTCTCGTAGGCCACAAATCCGAAGCCCTTGCTTTTGCCATCTTCCTTAGACATGACCTACAAGAGAAAATCAATTAGAATTGAATACGCAGTGTGTAGTTGAAGTGTGTACACTTACCTTGTAGCTGGTGATCTTGCCGTATGGCTCAAAGAATTCCTTGAGTTTCTCGTCGTCAAACTCCTCGGTGAAGTTCTTCACGTAGACGTTGGTAAAGAGTTTGGCCTTCTCGCCCAGCTCCTTCTCGCGCTCCTTGCGGGGAATGAATTTGCCCACGTAAACCTTTTTGCCGTTGAGCAACATGCCGTTGACCCTGTCGATGGACGTGTTTGCTGCCTCCTCAGTCTCGAAATGAACAAAGCCATAACCCTTGGAGTTGCCCGTCTCATCGATGGCGACCTTGCAGCTCAGGATATTGCCGAAGGCAGAGAAAGTGTCGTAAATGGCTTTGTTGTCGATGGCCTTGTCCAAGTTCTTAATGAACACATTGCCAACGCCGGAGCGGCGCAGTGAGGGATCGCGCTGAGACCACATTATGCGAATGGGTTTGTCGCAAACCAAGTCGAAATTCATTGTGTCCAAAGCACGCTCAGCTGCGAATGACATAATGACAAAATGTAACTCAATATCGGCTTCTAAAAGTCAAAGGATTTTGTAAATTACATTCGGTGCACTTGTGACCTTTACGTCTTTAAGTTAAGCTTGGACTCTGATCGGGAAACTTCGAATCTAAGTAGGATCAACGATGGTTACTAGTTCGTACTCAGGTACTACACGATGTTCTGAATGTAATGCTTCTACTTCTGTCGATGGCATAAGGAAGCATCTACATGGTAAGTCGCATTAGTTTCTCTGGCAACTTTGAATCTTAGTCGGATCAACGAGGGTTACTAGTTTGACCAACCAATGGGTAGAAGTTGCTATTAGCCATGGGTACTAAAGGATGTTGTGAATGTAATGCTTCTACTTCTGTCGATGGCATAAGGAACCATCTACATGGTAAGTCGCATTAGTTTCTCTGGCAACTTTGAATCTTAGTCGGATCAACGAGGGTTACTAGATTGACCAACCAATGGGTAGAAGTTGCTACAACGGCCATAGGTACTAAAGGATGTTGTAAATGTAATGCTTCTACTTCTGTCGATGGCATAAGGGACCATCTACATGGTAAGTCGCTTTTCTTCCTCTGGCAACTTTGAATCTTAGTCGGATCAACGAGGGTTACTAGATTGACCAACCAATGGGTAGAAGTTGCTACAACGGCCATAGGTACTAAAGGATGTTGTGAATGTAATGCTTCTACTTCTGTCGATGGCATAAGGAACCATCTACATGGTAAGTCGCATTAGTTTCTCTGGCAACTTTGAATCTTAGTCGGATCAACGAGGGTTACTAGATTGACCAACCAATGGGTAGAAGTTGCTACAACGGCCATAGGTACTAAAGGATGTTGTGAATGTAATGCTTCTACTTCTGTCGATGGCATAAGGAACCATCTACATGGTAAGTCGCATTAGTTTCTCTGGCAACTTTGAATCTTAGTCGGATCAACGAGGGTTACTAGATTGACCAACCAATGGGTAGAAGTTGCTACAACGGCCATAGGTACTAAAGGATGTTGTGAATGTAATGCTTCTACTTCTGTCGATGGCATAAGGAACCATCTACATGGTAAGTCGCATTAGTTTCTCTGGCAACTTTGAATCTTAGTCGGATCATCGAGGGTTACTAGATTGACCAACCAATGGGTAGAAGTTGCTACAACGGCCATAGGTACTACAGGGTGATCTGAATGTAATGCTTCTACTTCTGTCGATGGCATAAGGGAACCATCTACATGGTAAGTCGCTTTCCTTCCTCTGGCAACTTTGAATCTTAGTCGGATCAACGAGGGTTACTATTTTGACCAACCAATGGGTAGAAGTTGCTTTTTATTATTTATTGCTAGTATTCAGTATGACCAACCCATTGCCGCCTCGCCCAAACCGCCCAATGGGAGTTCAGTAAACTGGTTGGAATGCGCCAAGCTTTCACAGAGCCGCGTAATCAGTGCCATCCCGTCCCCCAGCCTTGCGTCCATTGTGCGCTTAATTCAATAAATATAATGTGAGTGGACGGGACGACACAACCAAAACGAAGAAGCAGCAGCAACAGCAGTAGCTATGCGCAGTGAAAGTTTGTTTTCTTATTGTAAAAACAAGATTTCCATGACGAAAGGGGGAAAGAGAGAGGAGAGCGGTTCGGTTCAGTGACATGTAAAGAATTTAGAAGCGTTAATGAATAAAAGCGGAAAAGGCATGAATGGATACGTGCCATATGAAAGTGAAAGCAAAACAAAAATAAAACATAATTATTCGGCAATCAAACACAACATGCAGAAATGTAGCCATCGGAATATAACCTAAAAAATGATGGCGAGCCGAAATGGTTTAAACAATCAACACATGTTTATGGAAGAGATAACACACATACACGCTCGAAGACACACACACAAACACGGTAAGATATTGACAATTGGGCATGACTGTGTGCGTGAGGGTTTGTGCCGCTTGGAAACAACACAAAACAGAGACACAAAATCTAGACGAACTATGGGTGGGACTGTGATAAGCCCGCTGTGCTGTGTGGCCCCATCTTATGCCATAGTCATAATTGCATATTTTCAGTATGGAGGCTAAGCCAGCTGTTTTTGCCTCCCCTTTTTCACTTTCTTTCCATCTGCAAAACAACTGGAATTGACATGCACACATACACAAACACACATTCACATACAGTTAGCAGGCGAGGAATCAGGGTTCAAGTTATGAAATGCTGGCAATATTTCAGACATGGAAATTCTATGTTCATTTCCACTTTAAAACGTGGCCCATGTTCCTTTTTTAAGAATTTTGGCATGTAACCTATTGAAACGTCTTGTCAGACAAACTGCTGCTTGTGTGTGTGCAAAAATTGCACACGTGTTTTCTTTGTTTCATGCGAGAGGGAGAACCTAGTGACGTTTGCGGGGCGCAGTGCAATTATGTGCACATTTTTTTACTGCCTTTGTGGCGGATTACTCACCATCGGCTGGCTGCTGGAAATTCACGTAGGCATAGCCCAATGAACGACGGGTAATCACATCGCGGCAGACGCGTATGGACAGAACTGGACCTGCAGTCGAGAACTTCGTAAAAAGTGAAGCTTCGTTGATATCCTGGTGCAGATCACCGACGTATAGTGAGGCCATATTTGGTGATCAGGTCTACCTGTAATTTATTTAAATTAATTTTACTCTTTCAATTATAAATTTCGTGTTTTTTGTATGTTCGAACCGGATGGATTCGGCGAGGCAGGGCAGAGAAATAGAAAGAAAGAAAAAAAAAAAGCGGCGTGGCTTTTGCTCTTCAATTCGTCTTTCTGTCTGTGTGTGTGGCAACTCTGACGCATGTGACAGTAGAATGGGTCGACATGGCAACACTGCATGTGCTTTGTTGTTGCTGGCCCGCTTCGTCGCGCACCCATACTACCACAGACACTCGTGTAGAAAAATTTCCACACACACATACACGCAATTGGACACACGTTTTACCCCTTCGAAAATATTAGATTTAGCTTAAATTTCAGCAAAATATCCGAACGTCACCACGGGGCTGGGCCCTTTCACGCTATTCAAAGCCAAATTTCACGTTTTCACATCGCCATCTTTCGTCGACGTCGACGTTTAACGAGCCACATTTCACAAGATAATTCCGCATTCTCTGCGCCACTGCTTTGACCATCTTTTCACTTTCCCTATTCCTGGTACTTACGCTTAAACACTTGCTCGAATTTTTTGCTACTTTTTACAATTTTTTTTGTTACTTTTTATGTTTTTAATTTTTTTTTTTTTTTTTAAGGTTTTTTCTTCACAAAAAATATGTGATAAGCCGTGTGCTATAAGCGAATCCACGACCGCTCACGTAAACGGACTCTAACGACTCGACGTTAGGGATGACTTCAATGTATCGCTAAACTTTTTTTGCTGCCGATAGTTTGGTTGGCGATAGTTTATGGGACAGCTATGGACATATGGGATATTTACCTTGTCTCCTAATATAATTTAAGCTACTCAAAATCATTTTGTTTTTTTTGTATCCATTTCGAATAAAATAATATCTACTCCTTACTCATATTGATGTTTCCAAAACCCCGAATGACGATTTTTCTCCAGCTCATCTCTAAGCTGAACAGGAGATCTGGAATAAAATTTTCGCAGAATCGATTTTTTTCGCTCTTGTAGCCAAAAACATCGATTTAGTCGAATAACAAAAAAAAACACATCTTTTGTATTATTTTATTGCTCTAGAACCTATTGGTTCCTGACTGCGTTCACTGAGCTGGGTGGTACGGTACAGTTTATACGTTCACGTGGAAATATATACAAAAAATACGGTATATTTTAACGCCAATTCGTGATTTTGGCGGTAGGGTTGGGAAAACAACCACTATCCATTATTCCACTATCGATAGTGAAAAACCCCGATGTTACCGGTAAAATCGAAATATTTGAAACCTCCATAGAGTCCAAATTTAAGAAAAAAAAAACAATAATGAAATGAAATGAAAATAAAGAAATCTTTCTCAAAAGGTTATTTTACTCTAAAAATATGTTCAATAAACGAAACAATATTCGCCGCTTGAGGTGTCAGAAATGAACATATAGTGCCCGCTTTTTTTTTTTAAAGACGCGCTTACAATTGCTTAAAAATTAAAATTTTCTTTAATAATCGAACATTTAATCGATTAACCTGCCAAAATTAAATTCAAAACTTAATAGCTGCAACATTGGATATTCCAGAGAGTCATTTCAATTATTTTACAACATATTAGATGCTCCATTTATCTACTGAGTTTTTGGCGGTAAATTCAAGATTCTCATACACACAAAAGAGCTATTCAGCACACCAGCACGGATGTGTATGTACCAAATCACCATTTATTGTGCTTTAAAGACTTCCCCATTTCTTTTTGAAAAGTACTGCCAACACCACAAATCTGGTAATTTCCAATGTCATACATTTTGTCTCTTTGCTCGAGTGTCTCGACAGCCTTGAAGATCGATGCTATCGAAGGTGAACTGAAATAGTCGATGGTCGGCTTATTTTTCAACCATCGATAGTATCGCCCTAATTGGCGGTATTGCCGTCGGATTTTTGATAAAAATCAGGACAACTTCCAAATATTAAATACATTTTTTCCCAACATGACCAAACAAATTACACTAAGCGCCGTTGACATAATTGGAAAAACTCGGCGCATAGTTGTGGTTGTTGTCGCAATTGGCATTTTGTATTTATATGTTTTTTTTTTTGGTGTTCCCCTCGTTTAAAACTTACCTAATACAGCAGTTACAGGCAACGGAAGCTTCTAGAGGACTCACACACTAGCAGCGGAGCCACCTTTTTATGGGATTTGTTAACACTTCACAGTTTCTGTTTTTTCTAATTTTTTTTTTTTTTTTGGTTTTCCTTTTGAACGAAATAAACAAACAAAAAAAGAATTAATAAGTTAAACGTCAATGACCGAATACATAAGGTAATTTTTTTGTAGTTTTTTCTGCAACAGACCTGTTTTTAATGTTTTTACACTGAGTGCTCAGTACCTAATGAAGGTTCTAGCCAAACTTGACAGGACGTAAACTTAAATGCCAAAATATGGCCTACTTGGGTGGTTCCAAAAACTGAAGGACGACGAACAAGAAGCATGCTCTTCGAAACATTTATTTGGGCATTACATTTGTTTACATTTTGTTCCATTTTAGTCTAATCGTAATATATGTATGTAAGTTGCAATGCTCGAATGCATGAGATTTAGTTTGCGTTCAACTCGATTTTGATTTCGTGTAGCTTTTAATACTTAAACATTATGTTTTTTATGAATGCATGTATGTGTGTGTGTGTATTCCTTAGTCATGAAGTTTCGTCTAGTGTATGGATATTATTATTATTAGATGTATTATTACTAAATTTCTTTAAATTTGTGTGGTATACCTCAAGTATTTTTTTTATGCATAACATAATTTGTGTGTGTGGTTTCCTTTTACCGTCAACATATGCACGCACGTACGATTATGTATATTTTTCGAAAATATACAAGATACTTCTAAACAGTGTTCAACTTCTGATTGAATATACATTATTTAATACGTTTTCTTTTAGCAAAGATTTTTACATACGCTCTTAGTTAAATCTTCTAATACTGTGCCAATTATTAGGTTAGTTTATACTCTTCTCGTTGCAACAATTAACTGCCATTGCACAATAAAAACCTGTATTCAGTTGCGTTTTTTTGCATTTTGTCGTTCTAGCATTAAATTTTTGTGTGTTTTCTGAGTTCTGACCCAATATTTTGAACATTCTTTAGTTATTTTGGCAGTGGATCGGTAATCAAATCATATTTAAACAGTAACAAAAATAATGATAGAGTGGCCCAAAGCTGGCAGCAAACATTTCCTTCCGTCTCAAACAATTCAAAAAAGAAAACCATAAAAAAAATTATAATGTCTATAATCTAGGTGGATATAAATCAAATTCCAATAGGATTAGATTCCATTCGTCGTTGTCGCTGCATCGCCACCCCATTCCACAAGGTACTGAACCTGACCATTTCCCATGCGGCGCTTGGCACGAATGGCAAACGATTCACCGGCGTCAATCCGATTCATGGCGCCTCCAAAGTATTTGTTCACAGACTGCTTTAGATCCAGTATCGAATGTCCGTTGCCAGCACTGCTGCTTCCACTTGTTGCTGTCGAGCTGATGGAATTCCTGCGACTTTGGTTGGGAGAGCTGCGAGCGGACTTTTGGGGCCGCTGGCGTAGCAGTCGGCCATGCGTGGGCTTATCTGCCGGCGGCGCTGGCGGCATCAAATCTTTGGCATATAAGGGAAAGTATGGGCTGGATAGAGGATTGATGGTAGTGGTATTGATAATCTATATAGTGGGAGAAAAGACAAAAAATGATTATGATTCAAACATATCAAACATTTCTTCGCTCTTACCTCGACGGCTGTCGTCATGCGACGATTCCGACGTTTGCGCACCTCCTGGTTGGGGCCTATGGTTATGTCTTTGGCACTCAGTCTTCGCTTTATGGTGCGCACGACGCGCGGTTGATCCATTCCGCCTCCCTTTAGCTTGAAAATGCTGTTGATGACGCCCGCGACGCCAACGCCCGTTCCCAGCCCGAATGCCAGGCCTTTTTTCACTTGCGTCGATTTCTTGGGTGTGGCCATAAGAAAAGGATTGTTGCGACCCAGAAAATTGACTGGCGGCGGTATAATGAGGTCCAGGGAGCTGGTGCCCCGACTGCTGCTTGAATTTTCATCGGACGAAAGATCACAGTGGTTGCGGCTGTTGTCGTACCGCCTAGACAAGTGGAAGGCCTTGCGTTTGCGGCTGCTCTTGGCATTTGGCTGCGGTGGAATAGGCGCTGGCAACTTGCCATGGTCACCATCATTGGCATTATCATCGGCTAGGTCAATTGTGTCCACTGTAACGCGGTGGTCCTGCTGCAGCTCCGGCACTGCAGGCATTTTGTTGGCTTTCTTTTTGGCTTTCTCAATGATCTGCTTTATGGGTATCTCGTCCTCGCTGGTGTTGGTCCCCTCCTCGTCCTCATCCGTACGGAACTCGTACACATCTTTGGAACCACTCTCTTCCCTGGGCATTAGCAATATGTTGAACTTGTTGACCAGCACCTCATCACAGACCTCCTCATGTGGTTGCAGCCACACTTTCGGGGTCACGGGTGGCCCACTGTGCCTAAGGGCAAAAAAATTTGGAGCCCGCTTGAACTCGCGTCCACACACAAATCTCTCTGTGCGATCTTTCAACGTTTGCTTAATGCGCTCCATTAACGCCGTCTCTGGCAGTGTCTTCCACTGCTCGGATATGGGCAGCTTGTGGCGCTGTTCGAGCACAAATGGCCAGATGTCCTTAAGCAAATGATGATACTTTTGATGCTGATGTTTGCGCAGATTGTAAAGCGCAATGTGGAGTATATCCACCCAGTCGATTTGCAGTCGCCGCACATATTCCACGCCATCGTTGCACACCGTGCAGCAGAATATAAAAAATCTGCACAAAGAGATTAAATTATATGCTGGCTCTGGGAGAATCAGTGAAAGTAAATAGTTATCCTTACGTGTCGCCCCGCAGCAGCTTTTCTTTAAAGTTCTGCATACACTGAGTGTGGAACCAGTTCTGGCATTTGCAGCACTGCAGCATATTGTGATCGAATTTTCCCGGCTTGCCGCAGTAGCAGTAGATTTGCTCCTCGTTCACCCGATGCTTCTCATCCCAGCTGAGTTTATCCGCCTTCGAAAAAACCAATTATAATCAATAATTATTTTGCAATTATCTTTCTACTCACATGATAGGGCAACTGGCGGCAAATCCCTGGGGGCTTCTTCGTTGTTTCATAATTCAATGGTTGTTGCATTTTCATTGGCTTCACGCATCGCTTGCAACTCCAAATTCCACTGCCAAGGGCTATTTCAGTGGTACAGCCACGATGGTAACCACGGCCGCAGCGTTCGCAAATCTCAACGATATCCTGTAGATTCAAGCGCTTGCAGGCCACACACATGGGCCCGCTTACGGCGGCATTAGAGGACTCCGAGCTGTTGCCAGTTTCACCACTGCCGCCTGTAGTTCCGCCGCCGCCCAGCTTGCGTAGCTTTTCCGACTCGTGCCACTGTTCCGATTGATCATCGAATCGGATTAGAAACTGATCGGGTGATTCTCCCACGATGGTTCCCAAATACAGTCTTCCATCGTCGCACTTAACGAATACATCCTCCTGTAGGGCGTAGCTAATAGCGTGGGGCGGTGGCGTTGGTGGTGTCGGTGGCGCTGAGTCGATGCTCTTGAAGCTCGGCTTCTTTTGTCTCGTCACTTTAATCAGCGTCGGTTTGGATGATGGTGGAGGTGGAGGTGTAGGTGTAAGTGGTGGGGGGGGCGAGGGCGAAGACTTTCCCGGAGAACTCATTGTCTCCGGTGTGGTTGGCGGCGTCTGAGGTGTCGTTGTGGTGGAGTCCGGTTCATCTATGACTATTACGGCGGCAGAGGTTGTCGTGCCTCCGCCGTAGCTGCTGCTGGATACCGAACTGCTGCTACTGCTACTGCTATCAGCAGTGCTGCTGTCAATGAGCGGCAGAATGGCCTGTGCCTTGTGCTGGATAGCTGGTATGATGGGTGAAGGCTGCTGGGCAGTGCCGAGAGATGTGGTGAGGTCGGCGCTGGCGACGTCTGAGTACAGATTGTTGATGCATATGTTGATGCGGTCCAAGACCACTGTGGGCGGCTGGTTGTGGGAAGCGGGAAGGGTCCCGGGTTCCCGTGGCGGCAAAGTATGCTGTTTGCCTGCCACCACTTGGCTCAGCTGGCGAGGCGGCAGTGCTCCGGCCTGGCGTTGTGGCATGTAGTAGGATTGAACGGGAGCATATACCTGCCGCTGTTCCGACGATGATTTATCAAGACTGTACACACTTGGGGCTGTCGATATAATGCGTATGTTGTTGGTCTTAAACGGGTTGGAAGCGGAAGTGGACGAGCTGGCAGCCTGCTGCTTGGTCGAAGGATTCTGCTGGCCATAGCTGTTGTTTATCTGTATGGTTCTTGGATGCGCTGACTGCTCTGTGGTTGCATAATATCGCTTCGATCCATTGGCATGGACGCCGCCGGTGGCGATGCCCTGAGTGGGTGGCATGATCTGGTAGGTCATCCATTGGGGCTGCTGTACATTCTGTTGCTGCGGCAAGTAGCTGTAGGTAGGAGCTGGAGTGGGAACTGGCGCTGGTCCTGAGAGCGGGATCTGCTGCTGCTGCTGCAAGTACGGTTGGGCAACATTTTGTGGTGTGTGCTCATGTTGCATGTGAAAATGGTTGTTCATCATTGTTGTTGTGTGAGTTTTATGTGCGGATTATTGTGCGCAGTCTTTTCTAAAAAGGAAAAGAAGCATCATTTGGTTAGTAAAGCCGGCTTTTTAGTTTTCTTCTGCGCTTGATTAATTATCACTAGGTTCAGCAACAATCTGGCGCCTTTTTCAATCAAATTGTTGTTGCTTCGTCCCAATACACGCTCACTCAGATTACACGTATAGAGGTCTAGAAGCGGGCCCTTTTGTATTCTGTCTTTCTACCTTCGTATTTTCACACGCACGACGGGACACATTTTTAAATGCGATGTTACCCACCTTTTAGTGTGGTTCAACACATGGATTAAATTAGCAATGCATTGAAATACATTTAGTTGTAGGTTTTAAGTATAGTTGTGCATTAATACCATCACAAATCCACTAAAACAATCACTTGCGGCAATTAAAAGTTTTTTCCAACATATGCGCACTGTGTTGGCAAACGTCCAACGACCAGTGCTGTGCAGTGTGTACCACCGATGTCATCGGTGGGACTGCAAAGCAGCATTAATAGTGATCAAATTTAACTCATTATCAAACGGTATAGCATATCTAGAGCCAAACTAAATCAAAATGCATAATTAAGTTTCGAAAAAATGAGGTCAAAATTCAAATAAAAATTCAAAAAAAATAAGTAGCGCTCGAGAATATGCCAGACTAGTCGAAGTATCGCACGATACTTTCAGCAGACGGCATCGATTCGTATAAATAGCAGCAGTGCAATTCCCGATAGGCATTTGGCACTCTGACGAGCGATAGCGATAACCGCAAGACGAAGAAGAGAGAAAAAAATAAATTTTTCGTGAAACTACGCTGTGCGTGCATAAAAAAGTGAAAAAATCGCTGAAACAAAGCTAAAGACATAGAAAAAGTTGAAAAAGCTTGGAGCAAAGTGTAAAAAGAGCTAACGACATTTGAAAAGACTTTTAAACAGTGAGTGATTTGTGTAAAACCAGAAAATTGTTAAGGTAGGTGTAGGCGGAGAGAAAGAGAGAAATTGAATTAAATGTGTGTGCAAGATATTAGTTGGTGTGACGCATTGGCCATAATTGAAAATACCAAAGTTGCAACAACTTTTACACAAAATCGTATTTCGTCAATGGTGTCGTACCTGTCGTACCCCTTCTCGCATGCAGACATATGATCATATCCATATATGCGCATGCAGACACTCGAACGTACACACACACGCTAATGGAACTGAACTGTGGACCAGAGCCAGAGCGTATTGAAAATTCATTGATTTAATTTGTTTCCCATTCGTTTTTCGGTACCCTTTTGCAGCTGTGGTAGTGACTATATGTCCAGGCCGCGTTCATCTGTAAAAGCCGTGCAACACAGGCACGAGTCCAGCGAGGAGGAGGACGACGAAGACGAGCAGCGCTCTCCGCGTCGCAATATGCATTCATTCGGGGATTCGGGCATGGGCAGCGGTGTGCCCGCCTTTCTGGCCAAGCTGTGGCGCCTGGTGGATGACACCGACACCAATCATTTGATTTGTTGGACAAAGGTAAAAAATCAAAAGCCGCCATATTGTTTATTTACCTTGATTTGCTTCTCTTTCCCTATTTACTTTTTTTTTATAAGCATGGCAACAGCACCAACAACAACGATTCGTGCAGGTGTCTTACGCTCTCTACGATTTGACTTTCTCTCCGTCATCGTAGCCGTTGTTGTTGCTGCTTACAGTATGCCTCTCTGCACGTATGCATTGTTGTTATGCGATTTGCATAGGCCACCGAAGTGCGTACGTGCGTGCCCTCTGAAAATGTTCCGCTCCTCGCCCCGCTCCAGCTGTCAATCGAAAATTTTCCGCCCCACCACGGTCATTCTGGTTTGCAATTACATAGATAAGAGCAAATCCCATCGGTTCTCTTACCAAAGAGTACGATGTTGGTTCCTGGGCCAGCGTGCCAATCAATCACTTGAAGAAATATTTATTCACATAATATGTACATATGGACAAACATATGTGTGTGATAACTTTTGTGGTCAGGAGAGGGGCTTATCGGTAGTTTTTGGTTAACCGCAACTTTTTGTTTGTTTTCCACTTATCATCATGACTTTTCGTATTGCTTTTTGATTTCAGGATGGGCACAGCTTTGTCATAAAAAACCAGGCGCAGTTCGCGAGGGAACTGCTGCCCCTCAACTACAAGCACAACAACATGGCCAGCTTCATCAGGCAGCTGAATATGTGTAAGTACAAGATATGCAAGAAGATACGATAAGATTCGGCTCTAAGCTAGGATTTCCTTTATTTTCCCATGCAGATGGATTCCACAAGATAACATCGATTGAGAATGGCGGCTTGCGGTTTGATCGCGACGAGATCGAGTTCTCTCATCCGTTCTTCAAGCGCAACTCCGCGTATCTGCTGGACCAAATTAAGCGAAAGATATCCAACAACAAGAATGTGGATGACAAGGCGGTGATGAAGCCGGAGGCCGTGTCCAAGATATTAAACGATGTGAAGGTGATGCAAGGCCGGCAGGACACCATGGACTCGCGCTTCTCCGCCATGAAGCAGGAGAACGAAGTGCTGTGGCGGGAGATCGCCAGCCTCCGCCAGAAGCACTCGAAGCAGCAACAGATAGTCAACAAGTTGATACAGTTCCTCATTTCGATCGTGCAGCCTTCAAGGAATATGTCTGGAGTGAAGCGGCACATGCAGCTCATGATAAATGACACGCCGGAAAACGTACGCGCGCGAACCACCAGTGAAACTGAGAGCGATGGGGGCAGTGGCCCTGTAATACACGAACTCAGCGAGGAGCTGCTCGACGAAGTGATGAATCCGTCACCAGTTCCATACGCCAGCTCTGCTCACCATGACCAGGAGAGCGCCTCTCCACAGTCCGTTGAGCGTCCACAGTCAATTAATTTTGACTACTCCAATCAGAGCGTTGAGGACTTGCTGCGAACTAATAATGGAGGAGGCAATCTTCTCCAGCTGGGAGCTGGAGGTGCCTCCCCTTTGGCCTCTAGCATGAGTCATTCACCGGCTGAACACATAGCCTACACAGTGACCGAACTCCCGGATGCCCATGTCCAGGATGCGTCCAGCAGTCCTGTGTACTCCGATGAGCATAATGTGCTTACGCCCTTGGTGCGTGAACAGCAACGTGAGGAGAAGCGCCAGCAGCGTCAGCAACTCAAGGAGAAGAACAAACAGCGGCGTCAGGCCGGAGACCAAATGCTCGCTGCCAACTCCATCTCAGTCGAAGAAGCCTCGCCCAAGTCTGTGAGCACGCGATCCCAGCTCAAAACAGATTTACAGTCCCTTGTGATGCCGCAGCCGGTTTACATCAAGACAGAGCCCGAAACCGATTCTGGACTGCTGGACCTGATGGATGGCTCGGACTCGGACTTGTACAATGTCAACTTTATCAGCGAAGATATGCCGTCGAATATATTTGAGGTAAGCTTTCAGGTGTACTAAATTTAGCATACATATTAAAAATAATAAACCTGCAGGACTCCTCAATGCTCTCGACTGGACTGGGAGAGGCTGACAAGCTGAATCAGCAGCAGACGTTTGGCAAGTCCACAGTTAGCAGCGGAAAGTTTGCCAGCAACTTTGACGTGCCCATTAGCAGCGGCAGCTCTCTGCAAGACGCAAATCAGGCATCTACTTCGAGGGCAGCGGCGGCCACAAAGGCCTCAGCATCGACATCAGCCTCAGCCACTGAGGGCGAGGCAGCAGCAGCCACGGCTGTTGCCAAGTATGCCGGCGATAACAGTGCTGTTCTGGAGGGGAGCAATAATGGTCCTCTGATGAGGATAAATTCAGTGTTAGTAGCTGACAAGCCTTTATTGGTACCTAGAAGGGCAGGATATAATCCAGAGGCCATTTCCCCTTCTTACTGTTGCAGTGACGATGTCCATGGCCATTTGGATAATGTGCAAGACGAGCTTGAGACCCTCAAGGATTTGTTGCGTGGCGACGGCGTCTCCATCGATCAGAACATGCTCTTGGGTGTAAGTATTGATATCACATTTCCCTTCCCCGTTTCATTTGCTTGGGCTGCCAGAGAACGTGTCCGTGTGTCCGAATTGAATTTTATAACAAACAAACGTTCTATTCTATTCGATTCTATACGATTAGGCTCTTGCCAGGACATCCATTTTGCAGCTGACCGAAGACGACCAGTTGATAAAGGTCAGCGCAAGCGTCCGGCACTTGAAAAGCCTACAAATTTTGAATATATTTCCAAGAAACAAACACTAAACTAGCTTTATTTATTAATGAATTTTTCAGCTTTTCAACGATTCGGAACTGCTGGACACCTATGGCCTATCTTTTCCCACTGACAGCATGAGCGGTGAGAAGAAAGGTATGCTGGGAAAATGATCAAATCCTTGAAGCCTGAACTAAATTTAATTCATATTCTTTGCAGCTTCGAGTGGTTCAGAAATTATGACCTATCAGCCCAGCCCGTACGACCTATCGGACATACTGGACACAGATGATAATGAAAAGAGCCAGGAGCCCATCAGTCGTCAGTCGTATCAGACGCAGAGTTCGGTTTTGAATACACCGCGTCACGATTTTTAATTCAGAGAATTTAGAGTAGACTAGAGTTCCGCAATAGCTGATCAGAAAGTGAACAAAAAATGTGTTTTAAGTTTTCAATTTGTTGAATATCTCTTATACTTATTAGTTGATCTATATTTGTAATCACATTAATATTAATATGAATATTCATTGATGTTTCTGTATGTGCCTTTTGCACTATATATATAATATATAGCATTACCCTTAACCGTAACCCTTAGCCCCACTCTAGTTGTATAGACTAGAAGAAGAGGTTAATATTTACGAGATATTCAATTTTTTAATCGGTGAAAAGTGGGAGAGCCAACCACGCATACCCATGCGTTTCATGTTGTGTCTTTCCGTTAGATAAATTTGTAGTTTTTGCGCTAAACGAAGATAACGATTAAATGTTACTCTGACTTGTATACAAGGTATAAGATCCTTATCTTTTTTTGTAGTTTATACGTTTTACACACTAATTTTTAAATAATGGAATAATAAAATACATACTATTCTGTGCTGACTCCCTCGCGAGCAGCAATTGAAATCTCAGTGAGGCATATATTTTGATTCAAAAAGTATGGAGGAGAGGTCAAAAGGGTACTCGAAATACATACATGCATATAAGTACATACATATATGAATGTAGATCTTCTGGCATGCATTTGTGCACATTTTGTTTGGGATGCGGGGAGGGGATATTTACCAGGCTGACACGACGTAAAAACTATAGATAAATATAAGTTAACTTAAGCTTATGTGTATGCTACCTAGAAACGCAGACAGGACAGGCACAGCAAGTAAAAATCCTATGTTAATGGAATAATACATATGGATGTTTGTGGGTGTAGTATAAGTGTGTCAAAAAGGAATGCCTGCCTGTGTGCCTCTGTGGTTTGTATAATCGATTGCATGTCTCGAATTGAAGGTTGTACGTATTGCATATGGATTGGAGATCGCCGTTCCCAGCCAACGGTCCCTTAGGACTGGTCCTTGTACTTGGCATCCTTTAGAATGTTGGCGAATTCGAATTTAACCCTTTCCCGCTCCGACCGGGGCATGCTCCGTAGAGAGTCCACCAGTGAAAGGCAATAAAGCTCAATGGGGTCATTGATGGGCGCCAGGCTGGGCAGAGGCGCGATCGTGGCCTTGCGTTTGGCTGCATTACCCATAATATCGCTGGCCGCCGGACGCCTTGTGGCCGCAGGCTTGTATATTGGCTCAATGGTTACCTCTCCATTCGAGAGGGTGCTGTTCTTGATGTCCTGGTGATGCTGCTGGTGGTGTTGTTGGTGATGGTCAAACCCATTACCCATGACAACCATGGGCGTGAGGAGGGGCGAGGAGGCCGGTGAGCTATAGAGGGTGTTGTTGCGACTATTATTGCTGCTGCTGTTGGTGCCATTCAAGGCACCCTCAATGGACACCTCCAACTTCGGCTCCATAACCAAGAGCTCGGGCAAGATTTCATTGTCGTCGCTATGCGATCCATCCTCACTGTTATCCAGCTCAATGATGTCATAGTTGCCCGACGCATCGACCTTCAAGTGCTCTGGATCGGGATAGAGGAAGCTGTTGCTGTCGTTGTCACTGCTCCCATTGTTGGTGGGCGCCGCAAAGGTTTGGTTTTTCTTCACATTGTATGTTTGGGCGGTGTTCTGGAGAAAGGAGAGATCCTCCGTAAAACGTCGCTTCCTCACATTTGGATTTATTTGGCCAGTCTCAATGGCCTTGATCTCCTGCAGATAATTGTAGCGTATGTTTTTCCATTTGGTCTGCAGGAAGCGGGCTGTGGGGTGGGAAGACAAGAAAGGGTGGGTGAATTAGTACTACAGTTTGGTAAGGGGGGGTGCCATTCACATCAAAAGTACTCACAGGAGGCGCCCAGCTCGTTGGCAATGCGATCCCATATGTCGACTCTCACTGGATTGCGGCGATAGTGCGGATGGCTGACATCGTATATGGCTGGATTGGCGCGCACCAGTTTTATCAAGCGATCGTCTGTGGGTTGTTTTTGTGGGAAAAATCGTTAAAATCCGTCAATCAGGCATTTGCTTTCTACATTTCTTCGCCAGCAACAACCCCTAAGCGCTGAAGACGCGGCCGGGCAGGACAATTGTCCTGTCTTGCATTGGGGGTTGGTTTGATTCTGCAGCGCTTCTCGCCTCTCTCTGTGTATTGGCAATACCATAAATGAAACTCACCGAATTCTGGTCCTGTGGTCTCTCGTTCTGCATAATAGCGTTGCATTTTGTTATCCAGCTTTGTACTTATCATAGTTTTCGACAAATCCTTTTACTCAATCCGGTTGTTCTTTTCTTCCTTACTGCACTGATGGTCCCCTCCAACTCAATTTACTGCCATGGGCTGTGTGGTTCTTCTTAATTTTCCGAGGGAGGCTCTCAGCGAAGACTCCAGAGCGTTATTTTGTTGTGCACAATTAACCGTTTTGACAGCGCTTATTTTCTTTCGTCTTGTTTTTGTCTTACGCGCTCTGCGCAGCTGCGTGACAGCGTAGTTATCGATAAAGTACACCGTCAGAACCTCGGAGATATACCAAATATATACCTTCTCATTTTTAAAATATTTGCGGTACAGTATATCTTAAACTAATTTTCTTCGACTTTGATGTTCTAATTAATAAAACCACCTAGTTATGAATCTCAGAGCTAAAACTAATATTTTATCCAATCGATCAAGCCATTTTTCACAAGATTGGCTGGTTTTATGACTTATTTTTATAGGATTGATTGCAAAATAAGGATCAAACTAAAAAGGTCAACCAACGAAAATAGTAGTAAAACGTTACGTGAGTAGGCATGGGTATTTACGTAATTTGACTTTTTGTTGATGGACAACCAGTAGTATGTGACTTTGTATACCCTATGTCTATTAATTAATATTAAAATTTAGCTTTTCAAGCTGATGTTTTTTGTATATATATGTTTATAAACCGATCGGTATCCATTCTCGGCATCTATATTCTACAAAATTTCGTTGCGATGGCTCTCCAACACAGATTACCTAAGATTTAAAACATTTCCAATAAATGTTATTAAAGGTAATTCGAATCAATTGGGTATGAACAGACGATCATTGCTGGGATAAAAATTCACATGTTCCCAGATATAGATACATATACTTCAAAACACACTCAAAAATCCCAACGAAAAAGAGACAAAATCCTGGAGGCACATATGAAAGACATGCGTTTGGCATCCTCGATACCCTTTATTCTTGAAAATTGTTTGAAAATATAGTTTAATTAATCGATGAAATTCATTTAATGCATCATAAATACATTGAACTAATTTTCGAAGTTCAAATACCCCAAAAGTTAATATTCCTTATGGTCACCGTGCTGCGCAGTAGGACTGTGACAAAAATCGATAACGTCAACGATACTATCGATGGTTTAAATGGTTTAGATTGTCCGATAGTATGAATAGTGGAAACTAAATACTGTCACACTGTTTAGGCGCGTTCCGAAAAGCAACAACAACAAACGCGGCTTGAGCATTTTCCACCGCTCCCGCGCTAAATCATCAACCAGCACGCGTTTGTGCCACAGCACACGCATTGGCCACAAAATATGAACAACGGCAGATATGGCAGATTTGGAGCACTCATTGGCATTGCGTACGTTAGCGGCACTCACTGTAAATTCCTGGTAAGAACGCACTCGTAACACAAACGCACACATGCAGGCTCGCGAGTACGCTTACGCATACGCATACGGGTTGCTGTATGCCTGTGTGGGTAGACAGCTGACTCAAAATCTATTTCCATAGATTTACTCGACAAAAAACGCCGAAGTCTTGGCCTACCATGAGCTGAAGCTGCGCCAGATTGTCCACCAGGCCGGCTGGCTGGAATATGATCCCTCGGAAATCTGGAAATACATGCAGGAGTGCATTGAGGTAGCGTATCGGGAACTCTTGCGTTAGTTATATCATCGGAAACTAACCCAAATAAATAACTCTTCGTAGACGGCGTACAAGAATTTGGTGATACTGGAAATTGACCCGCATGACATCATCGCGGTGGGCATTGTTAATCAGCGGGGCACAACCGTGCTCTGGAACAAGCAGACTGGCCAGCCACTGTACAATGCCATTGGATGGTCGGACAGTCGCAGCACCTCAGTGTTGCGTAGGATCCTGCAAAACGTGAAGCAGAACGTAGATTATGTGAGGCATCGCACTGGCCTCCCGCTGAGCGGTTGCTTCAGCGCCTTCAAGATTCGATGGCTGATGGAGAGTGTTCCGGCTGTCGCAGATTCTATAAAAGAGGACAAGTGCCTGTTCGGCACACTGGACTCGTGGCTGTTGTGGAATCTAACTGGTGGCGTCCAGGCGGGAGTACACTCGACGGACATCACCAACGCGCACTACACTTCGCTGATGAACCTGTCCTCACAGCAGTGGGATGCAAAGCTGTGCCAATTCTTTAAGCTGCCCATAAACATACTGCCACGAATACGTTCCAATTCCGAAATATTTGGCTATGTGCTGGACGGGCCGCTGCTGGGAGTACCTATTGCAGGGGTAATGGGCGAGCAGTCTGCTTGTTTGCTGGGCCAACTGTGTATTAAGGCCGGCCAGAATGTGTGCACCCTGGACGATAGCTGCTTTGTCCTGCTTAACACGGGCACAGAGAAGCTTGAATCAGATAATGGACTGATCACAGGAGTAGCGCACCAGCTGGGACCCAGAGCGGCGACCAACTACAGCCTCGAAGGAGCCATTTCCAATGCCGGATCCACAGTCACTTGGCTACGCGAAAAACTGCGCATCAATACCGAGATTAACTCCAACGACAATGTGGTGGAATCACTTAATACGTTCATCGGAGATAGCTCAATGATTTCCTCTTCCTGCTCATCCTCCATGCTTAATACTGAATGCGGTTTGGCGGCCAAACGGTCGGAGATTACCCTGGTGCCAGCCTTTCATGGTCTGTATGCTCCCTATTGGCGGTATGATGCCAGAGGCATAATTCTGGGCCTATCCAGTCAGACAACGGCAGAGAATATCACACAGGCTGCGTACGAGGCGACCGGGTTCCAGATCTACGAAGTTCTCGAGGCATTTAAGCGGGACACACCCAACTGGGATCACGCGAGCACGCATCCAGTGCTGACTTTTGGCGGCGAGTACGCGGAGGACACACACCTGGTCCAGTTCATAGCGGATATCATGGGCTACATGCTGGAGCGGCCGCAGACCGCCTCGCCAGCTGGTCTGGGAGTCATGATAGCGGCCGGCGTCACCATGGGCGTGGTATCCCTGGAATATGCGACAAAGATGTATGCGCCACCGACAGACGTCTTCTCACCCACCACCACACCAAACCGTAAGTGCAGGGGTAGACTGTACCTCAGGCAACACTCGAAATAATTTGGACTTTATTCCGCAGGTCGAGAGGTGCTGTACCGGCGCTGGGACTATGCGGTAAAGAGGTGCCTGCACTGGAACAACTTTGAGACGTACGAGGCAGATATCGAGCTTTTCTCGCAGCGCGAACGTGATCCCAATCAAGCCATACGGCGATCAATACCAGGAAGCGTCTTCATGGTCACATCGTTTGCTGTGCTCCTGCTGGCCAGGTACCTGCACAACCATCCTCTGACCTAATGCACATTGGAGGAGTGGGGCGAGGAGCGATCCTGTGCACTCTAGTCACGTTCAGCATGCGTATTCAAAATTAGTTGTTTAATTTATCATTTAGTCGTTTAGAGTTAATTCTCCCTATCGTTAGCTTTCTTTTGTATATACTCTCATTTTTCTACTTTGCCTGATTCGTAGATCAAATTTTTGTGATTTACTTTAGACAGTTCTTGAATGGATAAGTCCATAGTGTGTTCGGATCTGTTGAACTGTTCAGTTTAGGTTTATTTATGCGAGCGATTTATATTATTTTAAACCCGAGAGACAAATTTTAAAGCTGTGAAGAGACAGGGAGGTACACACACAATAAGTTTAAGCCTAAGCCGCTTTGGGCTTGCCTCCTGAAACATGTATGTATCCATCTTTATATTGTTAAAACTGAGTAAACCAAAAAAGAATGTAGAAAATGTAGAATGTAGAAAACCATTTGTTAAGAATGCATTTTCAAGTGGCCATTGAACCAAAGGCCGTGGGTGTATCACTGCTGGGAACTGCACGGTGCAAGTGGCCAGTGTTTGCTGGTTTCTGTTCCGCTGCTGAGATCCATTTACCAGTTAATTAGCTGTCAGGCATACTCGACGGAGGAACGCATTCATTACCTGCTTGTGGATGCCATGCCTCTTGTTACCCTGCCACTCCACACTAAAATGCAGCTTAAGTTATTGCGCTTATTGTTGACACGCGAATTGCGGACAGAGCCCGGAGGCCAGACCATCTCGCCTGATGAAGAAGCAGCTGTGCCCATGCATAGTCCCTGCAGCCAATGTGCACTTGAACGCGCTTCTCTCGCATCTACAGAGGAGAAGGAAGTAGGCGGGTCGTTGCTGGGGAGCACGAGCACCCCAACTGTTGTCTTTGCTGGCCATGGGAGTCGAGGGAGAGAGGCACTCTTTCAAATGAGTTTTTATGCGCGAACGTTTGCCAAATGCGCTACAAAAATATGAACCCGGCCCATCAGTGAGCTTTAAGCCTGAGGAGCATTTTTTAGCGATGGCACAATTCTAAAATGAAGAGATGATTCGATAAATCTTAGTTCCAAGTTCGATAACTGAACTCGATAGCTAATTGGCAACAATCGTACAATTTATGTGCCCTTCAAAGTGTAGCTCATCCGGGCTGTCAGGCATACCGATAAGCATGACTCTCAGTCGCGTACCCGTACATCCTGGTCCACAGTCTGCAAAATTGGTTTGCATTTGAAGACAAAACGTCGAGGAAGCGCATTAAAATGTGAAATTTGTGCAAACATTGACTCCCCCCACCCTTGCACCACCACTCGTTGCCCAAACTCTGCCTGCGAGGAGTTCGAGGGGGAGGCGTGGCAACGTCCAAGACGTAAGTAAACTTGCACGTAGTCAATTTAAATAAATTAACACAGTGTTGGAAGGTGTGTGTGCAAGGGCGATAGATAAGGGAACACGGGGGAAAGAGTAAGCTTATTGGTGTACCACTCCCCCTTGATGGGTTATTTGACTTCTTTCCTGCTGCGTCCCACTGCGTACCACTGTGCTGCAATATGCCATAATAAGAACAAAAATTTGACATAGCCACGTAGCTAGGATGATTCCCTGCGCCAGGGTGGGGTATCAATGTCCTCCTGGACGGGTGGGTTTTAGCTGTTGTGCGGTTTCCCGCCCCGTCTTGAATGCATTCTCGCCCTAAAAGGTGGTGTGCTGGGGAAGGGAGCGTGCTGCCAGTAACGCATAAATCCTCAAGTTTATGGCATCAATAAATGTCGAGGCGAAATAATGATTTCGTCAAGTTCCCGGCCATTGGGCTGCACAGAGCATTGCTCCCCTCGGCGATGGAACTTTTGCTGCCGTCGATGTTGCATTCCAACTG